CACTGTTCACCAGGTTCCCTCCCTTGTTCTCTAATTTTAGTCCAGGAACAATGAGCTCTTTACCGGACACACATCTCAGCAGCTGTTCTTCCTTTAGCTCACTGGCTGCACCTGAATGACCTTACGCAGCACAGATTAATGTTCAAAATAAGACCACTTTATTCTGTTTTCTCCCCACCAGCTGGCTCTATAACCTGTTTAGTAAATTTATTGACAAGGCTCTGCGCAGCGCCCTACAGAAACAGGTAACGTACCTACATTTTTAACCAGACAGCACCTAAACAGATGGGAAACGTGTAAAAGGCTTTGACGTAATAAACAAATGTGCTGTTGTTCCAGATCTGTCCTCTGGTGCGCAATGCCATAGATGAGATGAACCCCCGTCTGAAAACTCTGAATGGTACGACCCTTTAATCAGCAGCACATGCTACCCTTCAGTGTGTGGAATCAGTGTTTTCAGCAATATAATTCCTGTTTGGTTGCAGATAAATGTACATTCTAATATGCTTGTTCTGTGCAACATGAAGGGTTTCAAGGTTTCAAGTAAATGGAAGCTGTAATGGAATCAAAAATGAAGTTATAATAAGATTAAGAGCCAAAATGTCTCATATGTCAATGGTGGTACACAAAGCTTAAGGCAGATATCTCAACAAAAAAAGATATGCTTTTACATCATTTTCTGTAACACAATGTAAAATTTCTGTAAATATTAGTGTCCTACTTTTTACTACAACTGTAAAATTAATAACTTAACAGCCATTTTGACTTAAGTAAACAAAAACGTGGTCTCTGTCTTTTGCACAGTATGTTTATACACTTCTACTCAACTCCCTCAAACTGTGCGAACAGAACCAGAACCCAGACGACTGATTTTTTTTTTTTTCTTTTAGTTTTAGCCCAAGTCGACAAGTATGCTGAGATCGAATATTCCATGGTGGAGTCTCCCGTCGTGTCCATTTCCAGCATTGATCTCAGTTTAAAGGTGAGCTGCCATTACACTCGAGCCAAGTCACGCTTGAAAAGAATCCAGACAGGTTTCAGAATATTTGCCCTTTCTCGCCCACCGTTCTCTGTAGGGGGAGTTCTACAACATCGGGCAGCATAAGGAGCCTCCTTTCTCCCCCAAACCGTTCTCCCTGCCCCCTCAAGATAGCAACATGCTGTACATCGGACTGTCCGCCTTCACCCCCAACTCAGCAGGCTTCGTTTACAACAGCGCCGGAGCCCTCAGCCTCTACATCACGGACGACATGGTCAGTACAAACCACTGCAGGCTGTCACTCAGCAGAAGGTGTGGATGTTCTTACCCAAAGGAGCAGCCTGGATACTCTTCCAGACCCATGTTAATCTTTAGAGCGTCTAAAGTCTGAGATCTGCTTTGTTGTCATGGCAACTTCAGCCATGACAACAAAGCAGACCATAAGACTGAATTTAGGACAGAAGCCATTACAGAACAACAGGTCTTAAGTCTATAATCTTCTCTTATTTCCAGATAAGAAAACGGTTTTACAGAAATATCCTAAGTTTCCAAAATATCCTAAATATTTTCTTAACTTTAAGATAAACTCCAGGGCATCTTAACTTCTGTTTAATCGTCTGTTTCTATTGTTTTGTGCAGCGATGGGCAGCACAGTTTACTATAACCAGCATAATGACGCCACAGTTATCTACACTGAAAACGGTGCTTTGACCTGTTTTTTTTCTAACAGCGTTAAAAATCTCAGACTCTGCAGACTCGACCTCCACCGTCCCTCTTATTACCTTTGTGTGTTAATGTTGATGATGAAATATTACAGTGATGGTGAATAATGAGGAGACAGAGCTGAACGTGTGTCTGTTTATTAGGAGGAATAACGTTAGCGCACTCGGCTAAAGCATTTGGGAAATGGAGACTGAAACTGTGGAGCGGCGACACTGATAAACAGCGGAAAATGTTGAACAGTGCATTCAGTTAGAGTATTACTGGCTTAAAGGCCGTGGTATAGAATAGCTCATTTGAGTAACAATGATTTTGGGCTGGTGATGGATGGGTAGAAAGAGGTTCTATTGAAAAAAATAGCGGCCTATTTATTGAGAAAAAAAAATGAACATAAACATTCATTTTTGGAACCGTGAACGTAGTTCAGATTTTTTAAAAATGAACTATGAATGTGAACTAGTTCATTTTCATTAGTGTGAACTGAACTTTGAACTAGTTCATTTTCAGTGTAAACTATAACAACACTGACTAAAACGCCTAGTGGTCAATACTGTCAAGTATATGAAGAATGTTCTAGAAAAAAGTTCCTGCTCAAGGCAGCTCCGGTTCAGCTGTATTGTCTGAAAGTAGCTTGTTATGCCTTTCCCTTGGAAATCATTTGCCTTTTCATAAGATATGCCAAGACTCTTCAGTAAACAAGTCAACCAATGCACAACCTTGTCTTTATTGGAGTTGGCAAGTTCGCTGTCTGTCTAGTAATACGGTGGAGACGTGTTACAAGGGCAGAACACCATCAGACGAATGGCGAACGTCTTCAGTATTATAACACAAGTCCAGAAACTATGATAAAATGACATGTGTGCCTAAAAACCTTCCCAAGCTAATAACTGTTTCCCCTGACAGATACCGTCGGGTTCTCCCATTCGACTGAACACTAAGACATTTGGAACCTTCATTCCACAGGTACAAACTAGTGCATCTTCCATTCATCCTATGCTAAGTTTGGCTAAGAATGTAGGTTTTAGACCTTTAAGAAATAATGAACTATGGTTTATAGTGAATTAGATTCATGGATGTGAAGCCTGGCCTTATGCTAATGCTGCACAGTATGTCGTTTGTTAATCAATTATTGCGAGATTGGCTTTAATGTTTTCTAACCAATCACAAAGTGGGCTGTGAGCATCCTGACCAATCACAGTTCCAGATGAGTTTCCAAGAACAAAAGTCAATTATTTATAAATATATTAATCAGCCAGAAATGAACCCAATACCATTCGCCAAACATGTGGTCTGATCTTCAGAGTCTGACCAAATCAGACTGAGCCATAAAACTGCAGCAATATCAAGTTTAGCTCAGTTTTGTCAGTCTTTGCCAGATCAGTATTAATGTTGTTTTGTTCCAGCCAGTCTGTAAAGCATCTTACAGCCCATTTAGTTTGGCGAATGGTGTTGGGTTCATTTCTGGCTGATTCCAGGTTGTGTAGCTGTTCTTCTGTCACAGCTGCCGACTGAAAAGCTGCTCAGTGGTGATGACAGTTTGGGAATTTAGTGTCGCCTCATCTTCAGAGTCTGACCAAATCGGCTGTCGTTTAAATGTGATCTTAGAAGTGTCCATTTTCTGTTTGTTTCAAAGTAAGAAGTAAAAACGTTCAAATGTCTTGAGCGACTCCCACAGCTGTCAAAGTCATGGCTTAGCAACGGCGTCTCAATGGAGTGATACAGCTTTTGTGGAAAAAAAACGTGATGTTATGGTGAAATAACAGTATAACAGTGTATAACAGCATTTATCGTTATCAACAACGGGGGGGGGTGTTGTTCACTGAAGGAGAATTTCTCAGTAAGCCAGATAACTTAAGCCCAGTATCAAGCGAGTCCAGTAGAATGAAAGAAAAAGGACAACCTTGTTAGTTTTATTATTCAATTCAAGGGTAAATTATCCAGTTAGCAGTTTTGTGGAATCCCCCCTCAAACATGTTTGGGAGGAGTTTTCCTTAACTCTCTGGTCTCTTTGTCAGATTGCTAAGCAGTACCCAGGCCTCATGATGAAGCTCCTGGTGAAGACGGTGAAGGAACCAAGCATCACGTTTGAGCCCAACAACGTGACTTTGCAAGTTCAGAGTGCAATCACGGCTTATGCTATTCAGCCCAACAGTACACTGTCTCCTCTCTTTATCCTTAACCTGGTGAGTCACACGGGAGGGACCCTGGGGCACCGTTTGGGCTGGAGATAATGTTTTCTATGAGACTTCATGTGTCTTCTGCCCACAGAATGCCAGCGTGAGTGCTAAGATTTATGTGACGGGCGTTAAAGTGGCTGGAGCTCTGACCCTGAACGAGTAAGTCAAAGAATAAGTATATAAACTAGTGTGCACCTACGCTGTGTATTTCTGTTTTTCACCTTAATACCTTCATTTGTTTTGTCTTAGAATTAACATGGCCTTAGCAACAAGCTATGTGGGACCGTTCGAGGTAGGAGAACTAACAGACCAATCTGAAAAGTTCTACTGAAGAAACTAACACAATCAGGCCACTAATATAATGAATATTTTCAACAGGTCAAATCACTTAACAGCATCTTGATGATGGTTTTGAAGGTCGTGGTTATACCCAAGGTTAATGGTGAGTACATGATGTGATCATATTCATGATTTATTTTGCTTGAAAGCATTTTTTAATCTACAAACCCTCCTGTATCCACAGTCCGCCTACAGCAAGGTTATCCCCTACCTGCCATTGGAAAGATGAATCTGGTGAACACTCAGCTTCACATTCTGAAGGTATGAATGAGATGTTGATGCTGTTTTTAAAATATTATCACAAATAACTATGTCTAAATGTCTAAATATGCTTTTGTGAGTTCATTGCAGATTTTTTTAACCGACTGTTTGATTTTTTTCCTGTTATTTCGGATACGTTCATACATATACACAAATGTATAACATGATTTTTGGAATTACTGTTTTTTGGTGTAATGTGTCCAAGCAAACCTCAGAAGGACTATATATCGTGATGTCCTCACACATTGCAGTATTACATATATCACCCACCATATTTGAACCTTTATTATGACTACATGTTGTTTTTACAGGACTACATGTTGATCGGGACAGACGTTAAATTCACTGCCTGAGCTTTACTTGAAGTCTGCAATCTTTAAACTGCCAACGCTGCATAACGTTCTCAAATGAATTTGCCAAAGAGTGGAAGATATGTGATTTGCCGGTGTAAGGAAATCTGCTTAGGCACAACATTTATTTGCTGTAATCATTTTTATTAAACTACATGAGCTTTGTGTGATTTCAAACATGATCTTGAATAAATAAATATGCAGTTTTCTCTTTTTGATGTTATTTCGTGTATGTGCTTTAAATAGTAAAGTCCATGTTGCCCACATTCACGCAGTACAAAGCCCAACGAACCTGCAGGTTAACATGCAGCTGCTTGTTCATTCAGTAGCTCCTCGGTTCTTCTGCTGTCACTCAGAGAGGTGTGGCTGATTGCTTGACCTCGCAGGCTTTGGGAGTTTGCCGAGGTAATCTGTAAAAATGAGAGCGACAAGCACAACAAGCTTTCTGTTTAACTGATGATACATGCATCATTCTTCCCAATAAAGAGGCTGTAGTTAATATTTAAGAAATACAGCCTCATCCTATTTCAATATGTGTACTTGTGTATCTTATTAAGGTGTCACTGCTGACTGACTGTATTAGTTATAAAGTAATCTTCCAACTGTTTTTATGAATAAACAAGTAACCATTAAAAAAAAAGGCCAAACACTTAAAACAGATTTAAATTAACATTAAAAAAATTCAAAATATTTCATTGTAAAATATAATCTAGAAAAAAATCAAGAAGGTTATCCATTTTTTTTAAATGAGCAATGATGACAATCCTAATCCTATAAAGATAAGGACTTACCTTCACTAGTACATAGTCTCCAGCTTTAATAGGTACTGTAGTGGCTGTAGTCTGAGAGGGCAAATCCTTTTCAGGGAAAATCACCTTCAAATTCCCATCATTCCGACCACAAAGCTCCTGAGACGATCGTTTACTCTCCTGCAATGTACAGAAACACAGCAAAAACTAACTTCGAACTTTTCTAACATGAGAGTGCAAAGGCTTGAATAAGTAACTTCAAGGGTAACAGCAGACAATAACACAAACAGTTTTTAAATGGATGAGGTTTATTTCAGATTACTAAAACACTTGTAAGTGTTAAAGTGGAGCTCCATCGATTTTGCAAAATTAATTAATCTAGAGTAGAGTAGTTTGGTGTGAAATGCGCCTTTCTAAAGAAATTTACAAAGTCAAAATTGTTCACCTTTGTAGTGCTAGGAACCAGACATACGCATGTCTCCGCTACACATTTTATCTGCTCTCATCACCATTTTATCTGCTCTCCAAAATGACCCGTGAACTTAAATGTGTCTTGTAAGTGTTCATATGTCACACTGATAGTGGTAAAATACTGTGAAATTGAAGAAATGTGTTTTCTTTGAGTGCTATTTTTTTCTTACAACGCTCTGCATGTACCTCTCCACCCTGAACGCCTTTTGGGGAGCGGTCTGACTGCAGAGCCGCAGGTTTACACACCCTCAGTTTCACTACAGCAGAAACTGGAATCAAGGTAAGAAACGTTTGTCAGTGAAATAAATTAGTCGTCGTTAGACACCGTGCAGATATCACTGTTAGCCGTTAGCTTAGAATAGACTGTCTAACACGGGCCACGCAAAAAATACAAAAACTATCTGCCTCATAAACTGGTAAGCGGAGTAGCAAGTAGTTTGTTGTTGAGACCAGCACTTTCCACTCGCCCTGGGCTGCTCTGTGCTGGCACCGGCAGGTTCTCTCTCTCTCTCTCAGCTCTCCGTCACTCTTTAAACCACTGCAACTCCTTTGTGTTTCAAACTTCTGGTTCAAACTAAAATGGATCTACGACATTTTGGAAACAGACCTCCTCTAAGTCCTCTGCATACTCTGCCATCTTCAAAAATAGGTATGAAAACTGTAAAAATAATCCGGAAACAAAAGCTGTGCTGAACAGCTGTAGCTACAGGCTAATAACAACAGAAGCATGTTTGCTCACTCGCATTGATCTCAGTTGAGATGCAATTTTGAGTGGAAACATGGAAATAATCCTGGGGTAATAGTTTATATTAAAAATACATTTTAGAACAAAACTTAATAACAATACTATCACAAAACAATGTCTCTGGTATCAAACCATGCATTCATAACCATTTTGTGTAATAACCTAACAGGATGTAGCTTTAAGAGCCATTAAACGCATAGGATGTCTGGTTCCTAGTACTATAATGTTGAACAATTTTGACTCTGTAAATTTCTCTGGAAAAGCACATTTCACATCGAACCACTCTGAATGCTTTTGTTCACATCTAAACCATTGAATGATTGAGTAATTTTACAAAATCGGTGGACTTCCCCTTTAAGTAACAGAAAAATGCTACTACTGTTAATAACGAATGAAAACTAGTAAGTCCCGATTAGCAGTATGCAAATAGATTGACTGGCACCTATTGCGATCACTCATTACCATCTTAAGATGAAGCATTACCCTCACAAGCCAACTGTGATACTCACTCCTTCCACTAGGACGAGCTGTGTACTGCCGATGAGAGTGGTGTTCACCTTAGCTGCCTCCTCTCTGAACACTGAGATTAGCTCTTCCAGACGCCTCTGCTTCACCTCAGCGGGGACGTCGTCCTGGAGACGGTGGTACGCATGTGTTTTCTGATGAAAGCAAAATCAGACATTATGATCCCAAAGCAAAGCAACACCAGCTACACACAACAACCTTTAAATCCTTCAGAAAGTTGTCTGTTATTAGCAAAACGCTCCACAGATTCATCTTATACACCAGAGAGGATGGCCATGCCCGAAACTTCGCCCTATTCACTATATAGGGAATTGTGATTAGGGAACTACATCAGTTCATTATAATGCTTTTCTTGATTTTCCAGTATGGCAATAGTGATTGTTGATTAGTGCCTCTAATTGTCTAATGTAGGGAACAGTGATTAAGTGGCCATTTCTATCCATTTCATCATCATCATCATGAACCACTTAGTCCAGATAGGGTAGCAGATGGGAGAGCAGAGAATCCCAGACGACTCTGTCTCCAGCAACTTCCTCCTGCTCATTCCTAGGAACCCCGAGCCGCTTTCAGGCCAACTTGGAGATAAAATCCCCCCCGGCGGGTTTTAGGATGACCTCTGGGTTTTGTCCCAGTAGGCCGTGCCAAGTAAACCCCCACAGGGGGGTCTAGTGGTCATCCTGATCAGATGCCCGAACCACCTCAACTGGCTCCTCTCAATGTGGAGGAGTAGCAGCTCTACTCTGAGCTCCTCCCGGATGACTGAGCTCCTCACCCTATCAGTAGAGAGTAGCCGCCACCCTGCTTGTTTCCGCTGCTTGTATCCATGATCTCATTATTTCGGTCATTACCCACAGCTCATGACCACAGGTGAGGGTTGGGATGTAGACCGACCGGTAAACAGTGGGCTTTGCCTTATGGCTCAGCTCCCGCTTCACCACTACAGTCCGGTACAGTGACCGCTTTACTGTTGCCAGGCTGTCCCAGCCTGCGGCCGACCTCGCCATCCATTTCAACATGGTACTATATAGTGTCCCTGATTTCCCACTGTAGGGAGTCATAATTAGCAAACCATTTCCTATAATAATTTTCTATAGAGTGCTCTTGAATTTCCATTGTAGGAAACCATTTTTGTTCACTACAATAGTTTTCTATTCACTAATTTTCTAATTTCTTTTCAGTGATTTCTGTTCCCTGTGACAGTGTTTCTATAGCACTCCTCATGTTACAATATAGGGAACAACGTTTAGGGGACCATTTCTGTTCTCTAAGCTGGTGTTTCATACTGTGCTCTTGATTTTTCAACAGTAGAGAACAGTGACTACGGTACCTTTCCTGTCCTTTACAGTAATGTTCTATACAGTGCTCCTAAGTTTGGGATGAAGGGAATAGTGATTAGGGGTGCATTTCCATGGAATTGTGATTAGGGAACACTTCTGTTCCTTGTAATAAACACACACATTTCCTAAGCCGTTTATTCTTCTGGGTCGTGGGGGTTTGCTCTATTCAGTGCTACTGATTTTCCAATGTAAGGAATCGTGATTAGGGCACCATTTCTGTTCACTATAATACTTTTCTATATAGGTTCCCTGATTTTCTGGTATAGGGATTAGTGATCAGTGATTAGGGGATTATATAGTGCTCCTGATTTTCTAATGTAGTGTAATTTCTGTTCATGGGTCATTCTACAGAAACGTCCACTTCTTTTATCCATCCATAGGAGTCACTGGTGCTACTGATTGTCAATCATGGAATATCCACTAAAATATGTAATTTAGTCCATTTGTATTCTATTTTTTCACAATCACCTCAGAATAAAGTCGGTCACACCAGTGACTTCAGCTAAAAGCTTCATATGAAATCATGAGCTAAATGAGAAAATCTCTGATAACTGAAAGACACAGTGGACTCACCATGAGCTTTTCTTCATAGATCCTCAGAAAACAGGTAAACGGAAGTCAAGTGATGTCATCAGTGAGACTTTTATTTCAAAATAAGAGATTTTTTGTTACGCGGTAACACCAGAGACATGATCCCTGGGGAGAACAACTTTCATTATATATTTTATAATATTTATTTGGGATTTGTTTTTTTTATGTCACTTAAATCATATATTTCAGAGTCATGTATAGATTATTGCAGTTAAAATGGCAGAAAAACATGTTTTTTTTTCTGAAAATATGGCCTCAGCCTTCACACATGACTGTGAGGACGAGCTCTTCTGTGGTGCTCGGAATTCTATATGATTGATTTATAAACCAATATTGCTAAATTGAGGCTCAAGAAGGTGTAATTGTTAAAATAACGTATTGTTTTGTTTTTAAATATAAATAAATTGTAACCCTGACATGTTTTTCAAGTGTAATATATCTGTAAACGCTAGGGACACAAAAATGGACGTTTCCATAGAATGACCCTCACACACTGAACACAGTGTGAGCTTTCTGAATGTTGAGCTCACCTTCCTCATACTGTAGGCAAACAGGAATCCTATGTTGTAGCCCACTTCCCTGAGTAAGGACAGGGTCTGCTGGTGGTCCTCCTCTGTCTCTCCACAGAAGCCTGTGATGAAGTCACTGCTCAGACTGACCCCTGAAAGTAACAGTCATATATTCCTTGAACACACTCCTTCATCTGATTATTGGCTTATTCTCTGAATAGTCGATAATGACAAGAGACCTGGTATTATCTTGCGAATGTTTTCCACCAACTCAAGATACGCTTCCCTGGTGTACCTACAAAAACAATGCAGAGCACGATGGATTAAAGATAATTAAGGAAATTAATCTAAACCCACTTTACTGGTTCTGTGATCAGCTATATTATCGTGATGTTGCGTCTTACCCGCGTCTCATCGTTTGTAAAACTCGACTGCTGCCACTTTGAGCTGGCAGGTGGATCTGCTTGCAGATATTCTTCCTTTCTTGGATCAAGTGTAACACCTTCAGAGAACATGCACACACAAAACGAATTGGACCAGCACAGCATAAAGCAACAAAATTTGCACAGAATTTACACACTGCTGGACAGTCCAATAGAATCACTTTCATCTTATACACCGATCAGGCATAACATTATGACCACCTCCTTGTTTCTATACTCATTGTCCATTTTATCAGCTCCACTTACTATATAGGTGCACTTTGTAGTTCATAATTTGGGTGGTGGATCATTCTCAGCACTGCAGTAACACTGACGTGGTGGTGGTGTGTTGGTGTGTGTTGCGCTGGTACAAGTGGATCAGACACAGCAGTGCTGCTGGAGTTTTTAAACACTGTGTCCACTCACTGTCCACTCTATTAGACACTCCTACCTTGTCGGTCCACCTTGTAGATGTAAAGTCAGAGACGACAGCTCATCTGCTGCTGCACAGTTTGTGTTGGTCACACTCTAGTCCTTCATCAGTGGTCACAGGACGCTGCCCACAGGACGCTGTTGGCTGGATATTTTTGGTTGGTGGACTATTCTCAGTCCAGCAGTGACACTGAGGTGTTTAAAAACTCCAGCAGCACTGCTGTGTCTGATCCACTCAGACCAGCACAACACACACTAACACACCACCACCACGTCAGTGTTACTGCAGTGCTGAGAATGATCCACCACCCAAATAGTACCTGCTCTGTGAGGGTCCATGGGGGTCCTGACCACTGAAGAACAGGGTAAAAGGGGGCTAACAAAGTATGTAGAGAAACAGATGGACTACAGTCTGTAACTGAACTACAAAGTGCACCTATATAGTAAGTGGAGCTGATAAAATGGACAATGGGCGTAGAAACAAGGAGGGGGTCATAATGTTATGCCTGATCTGTGTAAATACTTGGGTTTTATGTCAGATGATAACCTGTCTTTTAAACTGCATGTCGAACAAATGAGGAAGTTAAATTTAAAGTTGGGATTTTATTTTAAGAACAGTTTTCGCTTTACTTAACAAGCACGACAAAAACCAGCTGAAACTACTTTTACCTATTTTAGATTATGGTGATATTTTTATAGGCATACTTCAAAGACAATGTTGCACTCACTGGACTGTGTTTATCACTCTGCATTAAGATTTATAACAGGTGCTAGATATTCAGCTCATCACTGTGAGCTTTATGAAATGACTGGCTGGCCTCCATTTTCAGTGCAAAGACAAATTCATTGGATATTATTCTGTCTATAAAGCAATTACTAGTCAGCTTCCTTCATATTCAACAAACAAGTCTCGGTACAATTTACGTTCTAATAGTCATATTCAGCTGGACGTTCTAATAGTACGGCCTGAATATGGCGAGGCAGCTTTTAGTTACAGTGCTTCATCTGCACGGAATGATCCGCAAAAACATTTGAAATTGGAGCAATTTATCTCCTTGACTGATTTTAAGATACCTGTTAAAGAGCTGCATCATTCTGTTTGTACTTTTTGATTTGATTTTGACAGATTTGATTTTGTTGGTTGTGGTCGTGTTGTTTCTTTGTTGATTTATGTTTTTTTTGTGTGTGCTGCCTTCTTAGCCAGGGCTCCCTTGCAAAAGAGATTTTTTATATCAATGTGATTTCCCTGGTTAAATAAAAGTAAAATAAATAAAAAAAAAAATATTGATTGTCACCACGTCTGATTAACTGTCTGAGCACTATAATTTTTTGTCATATACCTCATCTGGAAAGTCTTTGGGATGTGGGGAGGTGAAGCGTATCCTCATGTCGGGGTCTACAAGGGAGACACGGTCCAGAAGTTCAGAGAATCGCATGCCGCCCTGCTTGGCACGGTACACAGTGCTGAAGCCTCGACTGAGGCGCGAACCGACCTCAGAGATGTTGATCTGTGCCTCCGAAATGTCCCTGTAGCTGTTCACATTCTGGCCCAGCAGAGTCACCTCCTTCACACCCTGTACAACAATTTCACATGGTTAGAGTTGGATTTGGCCAAGTTTCAGAAAACTAAAGGGCCCAAAATAAAATCTGAACAGTGACAACATTTTAAACTGCACCACCGACTCTCCAATCCATAATAATGGAAGCCAGACTGCAAAAACAGCCTGTTTTGAACTCATAATGGTTGTGATGTCACAACCATGAGCACATTCACACATGATCGGCCATTCAGCACACAGCAGTTTAGAGCACCCATTCACACTGAACTGTGAAGGAGACAGTCAGTAGCAGAGTAACTGGAATAGAAGATAAAAATGATTAAAGCTGTTTTCTTGGGTGTCAGGAAGGAGATGGATCATCGCAGCCTGCCCAAGGATGCAGATACCCGAAAGAGGAGGATGAAGGTTTTTTCCATTACATCAGCCCTGACTGCAGACATGCACTCTCAGCCTGACATGCACCGCCAGCCTGTTAATGACGTCAGTGCCGCTCTACCACCACAGTGTTTTTTGACAGTTTTATGAAGAAATACAGCTATTATTCAGCAACAAAACTTTCAAAATAAAACCTACCATGACAACAAAACATAAATGTCGAGTTTATTTGCAGAAAAAACAAACAGGCTACAGCTGAAACTCATGAAAGCCATGCTGAAGACAATTAGAACCGTTAGGAATAAAACCTGATGGCTTCGCTTCCTAATGGGAATTGGCTTCATGGTTGGAATCAGTCCTAAAAGACCTGATTAAATGATTTGAACCCTTTACACTGGGATATCAATCAGGAAAACACAGAATACCCTTAGCGACTACAGAACACCACCAGTAACCAACAGACACTTTTAATGGGTCCTATGACTTTTTTCATCAGGGAGGTACATTAAATGGAGTTCTCTAGTCGTGTTATGAACAAAAAATAGATTAAGTGATGATGTCGCTGAGCTGAAGCAGCTATGAGTTAATGTGCCGTTTGGCTGCTTCTGCCATTGAGGCAGAGAGTGCATGTGCACGTGACGCCACTGGGGCTGAGAGTGCATCTGTCTGAGAGTGCGTGCAGCCAGACTCTATTGAATGAGGCACAATACAGTGCAGCCAATCACAATCTAGATACATCAATTCTGAAGGCACTGTGACAAAAACAGCCTGTGAAATTCTCAGAGATAAAGAGGGGTCGGCAAACGGTCAAGCAGAAATAAATTACGACTGTTTATGGTACATAAACCCTCACAAATTATAAGTGGGCTTCAGGGGGGAAAAGCAGAAAGCAAAAGAAATCCAAAACAGTGTTACAGAATATGGGCCCTTTAAGGAAGTTGGATGGACTGCCAAAGAGAGAGACCTGGTCAGACAGCATGCGGACTTCTTCCAGTATGGAGTACAGGGGTCTGCTTCTCTCTCTCCCTCGAGTAAACGGCACAACGCAGAAGCTGCACATGTTGTCACAGCCTCGCATGATAGACCTACGGTAGACACAGAGGGACAAAATACAGTCAAATACAGAGCCACCATCAGGACTGCAATCGCATTAAGGACTGTAAAGGATTGTGAAAGAGTTTGCATCAGTAACAGGAGATGGGAGATTGACACAGAGGTATTGTTTGAAGTGGAACATCAAACAGCATGAAGAATCAGTGAAATACAAAGACAGTGCCTTTGAAGCTTTATTTCACTTTCATCCTCAATACAGGAAAGTCTTTGTAATGTCTCGGCTAGTAACGAGACAAAGTAGACTGATGAGTGATTTCTAAGAAAGTTTTGGATCAGGCGTTTCAGGGCCGATGTCTACACAGTGCAGTCTGTATAAATGGGACAGTGACCCTTGTTTGTTTTTAGCATTTGACTCTGGGTTTCTGTCTGTAGCCACGTTTACATGCAGCCTGTATACGCCTTATCTGATTACATTTCCAATCGGAAAGTTTAAGTACGTTCTGCGCATGTGCGTCGCCAGTGGTGGACAGTAACAAAGTAATTGTAGTTTTTTTCCTGTATCTGTACTTTACTGAGGTTTTTCCATTTTGGCCGACTTTTCACTTTCACTCCACTACATTTCAAAGTCAAATATCTCACTTTTTACTCCACTACATTATGAGAAATCTGTCATTCCTTTTGGTTTATGTGTGTATAAAAACATAACATGTCAAAACAAAAGAAGCGCAAAGCAAAAACACCAATCAGGGCACAGCGGTCACTTTGTTTTGAGCTAGTTTGACCTGTTGGTCATACCGACCCAGTGCAGCACACAGTTCAACATCAGTGCAGCAGCGTAAAATTTTGGGAGTGTCTGTTCAACATAAACGATGGAGGAAACTCCTGACTGAACCTAACTTTGCGTAAACAGACCACAATATAGAAATATGTACACATATGCAGTTGTGACTGACGTGTCTTTTTTCCGAATTTATACAAACACTATTTCATGTTATTCCTCCGGGTACTCCGGTTTCCTCCCACAGTCCAAAGACATGCAGTCAGGCTGATTGGACGTGCTGAACTGCCCCTAGGTGTGAGTGTGTGTGACTGTGTATGTCTGTCTGTCTGCCCTGTGATGGACTGGCGACCTGTCCAGGGTGTATCCTGCCTTCCGCCCAATGACAGCTGGGATAGGCTCCAGCACCCCACCGCGACCCAGAAGGATAAGCGGTTTAGATGATCTATGTATGCATGTATTTCATGTTATAGTAAAGTTTATTAGTTACAGTAAAGTTATAGTTTGTTTTGTCTAGTTTATGTTTATGAACAGAGACCTACAGATGCAGTTTAGTAAAGGAAACTCATTTGTGAATCTGAGTTTAAAGTTTTTATTAAACTTAAACTTGTAACTAAGTTCAAATAAATCTTAAACTGAAACTTTGCTTGTTTGTAAAAAGTGATTTCAGAGCCACTCAGTTCTACCTGATGGAAACTGTTTGCCTTCAGTGTTTTGTGCTTATGATAATTTTAATAGACATCAGCGTCACTAATTAATGACTCTATTAAAAGACTGGTTTACCAAGAGAGACACTGGAGTATTTTCACCTAAAATGAGTTATGAAGCGAGTCCTGTTATAAAAATGATAACAGGACATCAGAGCCATAATTAATCTTTTAGTACTTTTACTTTCGATACTTAAGTACATTTGAAGGCAAATACTTTTGTACTTTTACTCAAGTGGAGGTCTAAAGGGAGGAACTTCAACTTTTACTGGAGTAATATTTTACCTTGGGTATCTCTACTTTAACTCAAGTACATGGTTTGCGTACTTCGTCCACCACTGGTCGCGTCATAGCAAAAGTTTATACCGTTCAGCATGGTGGAGCAGAAACTGGTCTGCAGAGGAGACGAAGTTTATGCTCTGAGCTTTAAAAGACGGCGGTGGGACGGACGTCCAGCTTATGTGTCTCAGAACACGACGTCTTCCTCTCGGCCTTCTTTAATAAGGACATGTGAAGGACGTTTTCCTGAGTCTGACATCATTTTAAAGGAATTAAAAACACAAGCACTGCTCACTGCTGCTCATCTCACCCTGACTGGACTCACGTGATGCTCGTTGTCACGGTAACGTCTACACTAAGCGGTTCTCTGCGCATTTGCGTCATTTTGGACCAGATTGCTTGTTGTGAGCATGTAAACAGAGATTTTCCATCAGAGTGTTGAGTAGAGTGAGAATAAACACCTCAGTCTTTATCTATAATCGGAATGTGTTCAATCGGACTGGAGAAAATCTTTACATGTAAACACAGACAGTGATTCCTATATTCCTACATACAGTCAGCCTTGATTGAGATCCTTTAAGAAGTGAGGCACTTACACGAAAGCACTGTGGCCTGTACTGTGGATGGGCATGACGTCAGCGTAGGTTTCTTCAAGAGAAAGCAGGACGTTGCTGGCCCTCTGTCCTCCGTGGGCGAGAGTCAGCAGCCTGGGCAAATCTCTGTAGGCATCTGGCCCTGCAATGACATCCACCAGCTTCTCCTTCTCCAACAACTCTGTCTTCAGCCTCTCCGCCATGCAACCTAGAGCAGAGATGGACAATATAATGATATTTCATTCTTATCACGAAAGATCACAGTACGCTTTCCTGAGCACGCAGCAGGTTTCATCATGATCCATAAAACATAGGCCAAATGAAAGCTTCTTTAAAAATAGAAGTTAAGGATTTAGACCACTAATTTATTTTGTTGTCTTCCTTTCTTTATGTTGAATAAAACAACTTATAGTACAGTTTTTCAGCTTTTTTATTTTGCTGGTGCACTATGTCTGTTCTGTCTTAACAGCACACATCAGACAAAACAAAATATTATGATTTGCATTGTGTTTTATGATGTCCTGCATTATTTTAGGTCCTTTATTATTTACTTCATACATAAATGACGCTGACGATCATCTGAATGACTAAGATACATTTACATGCTGATGATATACACCGATCAGGCATAACATTATGACCACCTCCTTGTTTCTACGCTCATTGTCCATTTTATCAGCTCCACTTACTATATAGGTGCACTTTGTAGTTCTACAGTTACAGACTGTAGTCCATCTGGATGACCAACACAAACTGTGCAGCAGCAGATGAGCTATCGTCTCTGACTTTACATCTGACAAGGTAGGAGTGTCTAATAGAGTGGACAGTGAGTGGACACAGTGTTTAAATACTCCAGCAGCACTGCTGTGTCTGATCCACTCAGACCAGCGCAACACACACTAACACACCACCACCATGTCGGTGTTACTGCAGTGCTGAGAATGATCCACCACCCAAATAGTACCTGCTCTGTGAGGGTCCATGGGGGTCCTGAGCACTGAAGAACAGGGTAAAAGGGGGCTAACAAAGTATCAGAGAAACAGATGGACTACAGTCTGTAACTGTAGAACTACAAAGTGCACCTATATAGTAAGTGGAGCTGATAAAATGGACAACGAGCGTAGAAACAAGGAGGTGGTCATAATGTTACGCCTGATCGGTGTAACTGTCTATACTTGTGCTTCAGCCATAGTAAATCTTCATAGTAAAGAGCACTGAGCATCATCCAATACTCATTACAAGATATTAAATTTTAATATTAAATTAGTTCTTAATGGATCTAAGACCAGGTTTATGGTCTTTTCTACGTCCCTTATAAATTCTTGCACAGATGTGCATATTAAGACCCTGTCAAGTGAAACACTTAATTGTGTATCTCAATATAAATACCTTAGAATACAGTTAGATAATAAATTGTCATTCAGAAAATATGTTTAGGAGATCAATAACTCAAAAGCCAAACTTAGAAGTAGAAAATCTTATTCATTTGACAACAGACAGAAGAGTGCGCAGACTATAATAGTATCTGTTTTTGATTATGGGGATATTATTCATATGAATGCCGGTCCTGCACTTTGAGAAAACTGGACCTGGTTTATCGTGGTGCAATTAGATTTATAACTGAAGATGGGTATTCTACTCTCTATTGTGATCTGTATTTAAATGCCCAATTGAAATATTTTAATTTTAAAAATACCTCTTGGTCAGCTGGTTAAGCATTACTTAAGCAAATTCCTTACTTAGTCAGTGTGAAGAGCATGTGTGACCATTTGCACTCTAGAGTACTTTTCACAGTAACAATAGTGAAATGAGAACTGGGAAAATTTCTGCAAATTTCAGTGCACAATTTCTATTTTTTTAAGTTTAACATAAAGGTAAAAATTTTAACAAATAATAATAAACGCACCATAACGTTTGTGTGGGCCACATATATATTTTCCCCCAATATGTTTATCTCAGCAAATAAACAAAAATTGTGTGTTAATATGTGCAGAAGTTTGTTATCTGTAGAGGATTTATTAACTTATTTGTCAATTAGAAAATCAACAAAATGTCATTTGACCAGGTGCACCCAAACTTTTGCATACGACTGACTGTTATTTTGCCTTTTTATATATTTGTTTTTTACTTCTGTACAGAATTATAAAGCTGTTTATTTAGGCAGAAAGTGTTTATTTTATTATACAGAAAAAACACTGATATTAGAATAAATCTAAACAATTTTATCACAATAAATGTGATTTTATTTTCAAATTTCAATATGTTTGTTTAACAATTTCCAACTCAGCACAGCCCAATATCAATTGTAGTTATCACCCAGCTCCTAGTTTGACTAATCAGTGCTTTATTACATTATATCAAGTGGGCTGGTCACTGATTTGAACAAATCTACGCAATACTGAGGGCATTCAGGAGACATCTGCAACCAAACCAGCTCAATATATCAACTCTTTTTAAAAAAATAAGAAATTCTTACTAATTTTTACTGTATTCATGTTTATTTGCATCTATTCTAATGACATATGGCGAATCTGCTTAAGTGCTTAAGACTTTTTGTACCTTATATTTGTGGGTTCAGTTTTGTACTGGGGTACCCCTGAAAAGGAGGCCTTAAGGTGTCTGCTCTACTGATATATTTTATTTTTAAAAAGTATTGCAAAGTGACATTTTTGCCTTATTGCCCACCTTTAACCCAGAGGAGGGCAGAAACATACAAATACCAGGCCAAAACATGCATTTGAAGCAGGGTGAAGAGCTTAAAACATAAAAATTACCTAGGATTCCTATCTTCAAGTGACTGTTGGCCTTTAGGCGCTTCTTTTTAAGAGCTGTGAGCTGTTTGAGTCGGTTCCAGATGGTCTGCTCTGCCTTTTCCCTGCAAAAAAAGAGAAAATGGCACTGAATCCAAGCATCCAACCAAATAAGTAAGACAATTTGTATTTACGGTTTCTAGCACAAGAACTGACCTTACGGAACACGTGACGAGAAGCACCACGTCTGCCTGTGGGAGAAGTTTAAGAAAGATGAAGGTGAAAGCATTAACACGAAGGCAGTTCTCCAGGGTATATTTTGGTTTGTCCATCTGAATTTACATGACCAAATCATAAGGCAAATTATTCAGTAACTGCATGAAATAAATGTCAATTTTTATTTTATTCATTTACTATTTTTTTGAAAAAGCTCCCCTCAAATTAACAGAACATGTTTTATGATCATACACATATTGATATATGCTTACAATTTACTGCTGAAAGCCAAAAATCTTAGACGCTCTTTGTATTTTTTTTATAAAAATAATTTGTACAGAGCAGATCACTGAAGAGACGCCATCTGTTTATAGTTTATAGCCCAGATTTGTGGAAAAATGGGTCGACTTTCAGTAGAAAAAAAAATTGTGAGTTCAGCTTCTTTTATTATAAGGGTTTAAAATGACATCACCCATCTATTTGACTGGAAAAAAGACAGTTACAGCTCTCATACGACCCCCACCTTTAGAATGTAGCTTATGAAATATGAAAGTTATGAAGAATATGACGAAGTGCGTTTTGGAACCACCGGCGGTCTCAAGGAGTTGAAGAGGTTAAGAACAAGAAGGGGCAAAAATTCACCTCTGAGAGTTCAGACGTCCTCAGATATCCTCCCTTCTGCAGAATGGACCATGCAATTTCAGTATCGTTCACGTTCATCTGACAGCCGTAAGTTTCAAAGTAGACTATAAGAGATGATGAGAACATAAAAACTGACATAGAAGGAAAATGTATTCAATTCAATGCTTTAAATTCAAATACCTGTTGGTCAACTGGTTAAGCACCACTCAAGCAAATTACTTGTTAGTCTGAGTGAAGGGCAAGTGCGGCCGTTCGCACTCTAGAGTACTTTTCACAGTAACAGGAGTGAAATGAGAACTGGAGAAATGCTTTTAATCACCTTATACATGTAATATTTTAAATCAGGGACCTCAGTTGACAGAGCTTGTCCCATTTAGTATTGTTAAAGGTTCAACTGAAGGTTTTCATACAAATGGGAATGCCTAAAATAATTTGTATATTATTACTATACTTAGCTGTATGCAAAGTTTAAATAGCCCTGGTCAAATGACGTTTTGTTGATTTTCTAAGTGAAAATAAGTGAACACTTCCTCTACGCAAATTTAAATATGGCATTTTTCTGCAAACATATGCAAGTTTAACCTCTTATTCTCCAGGGTATATTTTGGTTTTTCCAACTGAATTTACACGACCAAATCGTAAGGCCAATTATTCAGTAACTGCATGAAATGAATGTCAATTTTTATTTTTTAATTTTTTTGTAAAAGCTCCCCTCAAATTAACAGAACATGTGTTTTATGATACACTTATTGCTATATGCTTACAATTTACTGCTGAAAGCCAAAAATCTTAGACGCTCTTTGTATTATTTTATAAAAATAATTTGTACAGAGCAGATCACTGAAGAGACGCCATCTGTTTATAGTTTATAGCCCAGATTTGTGGAAAAATCGGTCGACTTTCAGTAGAATAAAAAATTGTGAGTTCAGCTTCTTTTATTATAAGGGTTTAAAATGACATCACCCATCTATTTGACTGGAAAGAAGACAGTTACAGCTCTCATACGACCCCATTCTCATACGAGAATGTAGCTTATGAAATGTGAAAGTTATGAAGAATATGAAGCGCATTTTGGAACCACCGGTGGTCTCAAGGAGTCGAAGAGGTTAAAATAAGGGATAAAATGAAAACATAAAATAATGAGTATGTCATAACTTTTGCACAGGTTACATGTATATTTTTCGCTCCAAATATGTTAAACTCAGCAGATAAACAGTAAACGTGCATTAATGGAGCCCCGCTGGTGACATCCTGTATAAATAAAAATAATGCGTGGGAACGAGATCCTAATGCGTGGCCACGACTTAGTAGGGCGTGGGAACGAGATCACGGCTTACTAAATCGTGGCCACGCATCAGGATCTCGTTCCCACACTTTACTAAGTCGTGGCCACGACTTAATCATCTCATTCCCACGCCCTACTAAGTCGTGGCCACGCATTATTTTTATTTATACGGGATGTCACCAGCGGGGCTCCGTAGTTCCCTGTAAAGGATGTGCAAACTTGTTGTCTTATAAAATCAGAACACTTCAAATTCAGGCTGACACAAACCTCTCCGCACATCTGCTGGGGAGCTGTGGGGAAGAATCGGCTCTTCATACTCAGTCTGTGATTCTTTAGGTGGTGTTTTGTTGGAAGACGCCCTGATGAAGTGATGAAAGTCTGGACCAGAAGACAGTTTGGTCTTAAATCCCCTCTCTCGTTTCTCTCTTATCTCGTCAGTGTCAGATGAAACTGAGCAGTAACCTCTGTATTCCTGCGCTCTTCGAGGCGGATATGTTTGCACAGAAAACACAAAGAGTCTGAGACTCCTGACCCGCTTCATGTCCGAATAAATGTCTTCTGTCAAACCAGTGAAGCTAAACTGGACATGAAGCTGAGCTGCTGTGTGGGAACGTTAGCTACGTTAGCTACGCTGGAATGGCCAGCACTACCAGCTCACAAGCTCAGCTCGTTTATAAGCTCGTCCTGAGAAGCTGAACGAGCTAACTCGAGATAACGAATTAGTACAAAAAATAGCTAAGAACGTCTCTTACTTAACGCCTTCGCCAGCTATTACAAAACAACACAGTAATGAGGTTTACTTCACGTGTAACCTTACAGTGTTGACATTGCCGGCTAGCATGGCGGCTAAAGGTTGTGTTTTTCAAAATAAGAGTTCGTCAAAATAACGGTGATTAAAGGGGCTTCAGCGCTGACGAGGCTAAATTATCCGACGTTTAAACCAAAATGTCCGTGTTTTTACATAGGTAAGTTTGGGACCAACTTTTGTTGGTGACTGTATAATTCGCATAATCATGGACTTTTATTTTTGCAACTGTGAATTAACAGCAGTTTTTAATTAACACATACAGTGCCAGATCCAAGGGGTTGAAGCTTTATCTAGAGTTTATCTAGTCCATGTGAACATAAATAAACAGGGGCTTACTCAGAACTGTACTAATTAATTAAATGCTGTAAGGATTTATTCAACACTGTAGCTAAGTAAGAGCACGGTATTCCGTACAGTTCAGTATTCCATACACTTGCAACTTTTCCTGTTTGTGTAATAAAAAAACACTTTCTTGTGGTTTCTAAGCTGGGTTTGGACATCAAATCTGTGCAAATAGTGACCAACCCCTGGCACAACCCGAAAATGGCTGGTGGGGAAACCCAGGGATGCGAATGTGAATAGGGTGGGGAAACTTTCACGGCCAGTTAAAATGCATTTTAGCACTTTTAAACATCACATTTAACACTTAAATGAATATTAATCAATATGTTATGACCATGAAACACAGTATGTTTAATACTGAGTTGTTAATCTAAGTTCACACAGTCAGCTAAGTTACCTTATACAACAGTTAGTTCCGGCCACACAAGCTGATTAGTTGAGAAGCGTTCTAACCGTGCTGTTATTTCACCATAACACCACTTATTTTTTACAAACACTGTATCACTCCGCTGAGACTTTAACAGCTGTAGGAGTCGCTCAAACCATTTGAATCTTTTTATTTCTTACTTTGCCACAAACAGAAAATGGACACTTTTAAGATCACATTTGACCGACCGCCGATTTGGTCAGACTCTGAAGATGAGACGACACTAAATTCCCAAACTGTCATCACCACTGAGCAGCTTTTCAGTCGGCAGCTGTGACAGAAAAACAGCTGAACAACCTGGAATCAGCCAGAAATGAACCCAACACCATTCGCCAAACTAAATGGGCTGTAAGATGCTTTACAGACTGGCTGGAACAAAACAACATTAATATTGATCTGGCAAAAACTGACAAAACTGAGCTAAACTTGATATTGTGGCAGTTTGACGTAGCAACAAGCTGCTCGTTAAGGAACTATAATTTGGTGAAGGAACTGCAAACATTAAAACATATTAAACGCCGCGTTCACGGCCCAGTTTATTAATTTATTACTTTATTTATTTAACTGCTGTATAAAAGCAATAGAACACTCGAGGAATGTGTTATCGCCAATAACATCACAGCCGTGATGTTATTTCTTGATAACACACTCCCTCTCGTGTTCTATTGCTTAATAAGCAGACTCCTTTCAGCTGCACAGCTTCACACCACTGCCTCACTTTAGGCTTTTTTCCATGGTAGCCTCATTCATTGCACATATTGTTTATATTAATTCAGTTTTATAATCAGTATAATCAGTTAATGTCTATTCTTATGCAATTAGATTTCATAAAACTTCAAATAAAATTCAGGGAAAACACTGTACGGAAAACTGCTCCTTCTCTGGAAGCTGGTGTACGGAATACTGACGGCACAAACCACTGACACAGATGACATTGTTTTCTTATTTCTTTAAAGGAATTGGCCCAAATGTGGTCAGCTTGCTAGGCAGAGTCTAACCAATCATTACATCATGTATGACTTCCGCAGTAACTACTGAAACACAAAAGTGCCGAAGTAAGAGGTCAATCAACAGTGTGGACATTTAGTGAACACCTATTTTGCTGTATCTGCCACACAGTTGTGGGATGTAAAAAGAAAGAGAGATGGAGACAGAAAGTAAAATGAAACTGTCAGTTGCCTTTGAAAGTTTTCTCTGTACATTCTCTGTACTCATTTCATTCTGCAGTAAAGCAGAATTAGCTGGAAATTGGGAGCCGAAACTATGATGTGTAAATATGAATACAGCACCCTTCATTTAATACCAGTCAAAACGGCCAGAATTGATTTTTCATTCAAAACACATTTTGGACTTTTAATTGAGTTGGACTTTAGAAAAAGTGACCTTATATCTTAATTATGTTTATTTTATTAAAACGATATATCGAGCATCCCATTTTGTCACTAACAAACAATCATAACACCTCTGAAACCTTTTGAAATGTTTGGGTTGTGACAGTTTTGAGCTGATTTTGAGCAGAACTCAAAAATGCTAGCCAGTACATGACTAGCAAACACACATAAAATCAGACATAAAATCAGAATATTTTCATTAAAACACACAAAAGTTGACTTGACTGCAGAAAATATGTGTTTGGTAGTGACAGTTCTTAATGTTACACTCTGATTTTCAGACTTTGGGACACATTTACTTCAAAACAGTGGGATCTAACTGCTCACCATGTGGCCATGAGGGACAGAGATGAAGCCTCACTTCCTGCTCTAAAATACATGGGCGTGGCTCAAATAAGGCTCTGCCTATGGACTAAAACTCTTTGTGTTTTGGTAGCGAAAACATGAGATTTTTTGGGGAAATTCAACTTAATAAATCTAACATAATCTTAACGTAATAAATCAAAATCTTTAAACCTTTAAAAGAAATCCAAAAGATCCTATTATTATTATAGTATTATTTTCACACGTTGAAAGTTAGGGATTAGGGTTTGGCACAGACACCTCCCAATAGAAAGTACCCTATAAATAATGAATTTGTATACATTTAACTTATTACTAAGCCTATTAATCTGTTGGGTTTACATAGATCATAGCATAATCTTTGGAAGTATGTAAGCTCTGAACACTTCATTGTTTTTAGAGGGTTTTTTTTGTTTTTATTTTTATTTATTTTATTTTTTTTAACTAATTTGAAATAATTATATAGATACTGTAACATGTGGTTTGTTAGCAGGCTGTATGTGGTGAGCAGCTTTATTAGGGGCTATCCAAAACTCATAGTCATCACAGGCAAAGCCACACAGCAAAACCCAGAAACCAAAGCAAAGGTAAAAGAACGCTAAACCACAAAAGCCACAGCTCAGAACTCAGCTGGGAATAGAGACTTTGCAAAGAACAAGGTCACATGAAGGTGTGTATGTAGGGGTTGTATTTGAATCTATAAACTAGCAGCAGGTGTATGTGATGAAGGGGTGGAGCCAGGGAGAAGCAGGCAGTGGAATGAGCCAATCCAGACCAGGCATGTCCAACTAGAGTCTCCTAGAGACTCTACAGAGTCTAGAGACAACATAATCCATTTTCTTAAGGAAGGAGAAAGTCAAAGAAAAATCAAAAGCAGTTCTAAAAAAGGAGATTTAAAATGATACTCAAAGCTTTCATCTCTGAGAGAGAGGAGAAAATCAAGCTGCTTCAGATCTGAAAACATCCACAGGTGTTTCTGTCCATCCTTCCACTGTGAGAAGACGACTCAGCGCTGTGGGTCTGAAAGGATGTGTAGCTGTTCAAGAAGAACCTCACTGAGAAAAGGAGACGGACACATCAAACAAAGAAGCTGAACAGTGGACTGACCGCCCCAGAGTCCAGACCTCAACACCACTGAATGTGTTTGATTACTTCAGAAAATTTGGAGGTGTGGAAAAATATCCCTGCAGCTTTCTTTAAAAACTGAAACCAAAAATGAAAATTTGTATATATATATATATATATGTGTGTGTGTGTGTGTGTGTGGCCATTTTGACTCAAAAACAAAATAAACAAAGCGTAGTTTCTAACTTTTGCAAAATCCAGGACATTTAAATAATGTGCTGCTTTTCCAAAGTCATATGCAAAAGTTTAGGCACCCCTTGTCAGTTTACATGTTTTGATTGATTGATTTTCTAAGTGAAAAAAAAATTGTGCACTTAAATTTTAAGGTATATGACATATTTAAGCGTGTTCTCTGTTGAGAATCAGCGTCATTTAACTGGGGGTGTTGAAACTTTTGCAAATGACTTTATATCCTTTTGTTTAGCTTTTATCAACATTTCTATTTTGTTCTATTTCTATTTATAAACATGCATTAATTATATGGAATATTAGGAATATATAGATAAAATGTTTACTGAAAACACGCATTTCTCTGTTCATACTATCAGTTATCTTTAAGTGCTTAAGTTTATGACTATTTTTTGAATAATTGAAAAATTCATTATCAGTTTTTTTTGTTTGGGAATAATTCAGCTTTTCTAATATCTGGCTTTGTTAGAAAAATATGTTCACCAGTTCTAAAGATTAGATTGTCTAACATTATTAACCAAATGAAGCTGATTATGTAGTTAAAGTGTCATATTCTAATCTAATAGAGAGGCCTAGAGAGAGAGAGAGAGAGAGAGAGAGAGAGAGAGAGAGAGAATGAAGAAGTAAAATGAAGCTGTCAGTAATAAAGTTGTCTTTGGAGGCTTTCTCAGTACAGTGGTGTTTATGAAGGGTCGTCACATGGTACCTTCCTGGGTGGCGAGCAGTGGAGCTACTGGAGCCTGTTGCTGTTGCTGATTCTCCTCCACTCTTTCAGTATCACTCGTTCAGAGAAGGCTGAGGATGACACAAACCCCTGATACAGACTAACCTGCAAGCGCACTCTGCCTTCTTTCACATCCAAGACTACGCGGGGGAGCCTTTACCAGCAACCGCACTTAAGGAAATTATCCAGGTGAGCTGATTACGCTTAAGTGACCCTAACTGGCAAAATTCACTGCATCAAATAAGCCTGTGGCATGTTTGAGTTCTTACTGTAGTCGTTTCTGCTCTTTTGGCATAACAGTGCTGCTGAATTTTGCCAGATCATAGATTCCAAGGATATAAAACATCTCCAAAATTCTCAGTTGTTGAAATATTCTAACATTACAGTAAATTCAGATATAAAAAGAGACTAAAGAGACTTTCAATTTGGAAAAAAAACCTCTCAGAATATGATCCTGCACGGCTGTGTGGTCAGCGACTTTTGTAATGCCCACTGCAGTGATTAAAAAAAGAAAGGTGTTGGTCAGCGTTTTCTGAAATGTAATTTTGAGTGTGTTTTCTTGCTGGTCAGTGTGTCCAGGTCTAGTCAGGATGATGGAGAGAGCTGTAGTGCTGGCACTGTGCTGCTGCCTGTTGATGCCTGACCCGTGCGCTCCACTCTATCCATCACTACGGTAAGACAGACTGAACAAGTGTTTCTAGTAAAATATACAGAATATTAGTTTTGAAACTGGAAGCTGATGAATGTAAATATATTCACCAGTTTTATCCATACATCTATATATTTTATCTGTATTTTAAATGTATTTTTTGTATTGTGTTCATATTTTTATGCCTTAATTATATGTAATTTAAAGAATATCTAGATACATTCTTTTATTACAAAGATGCATTTGTCAGGTTATAACAACAGTTTTATTAACTCTTATTATGATCTGTCAACTATTTAACAGCAATTTGTAGAGTAAATAAATCATTGCTTCTTATTTGTAATTGAAAATCAGTCTAATTTTGGTTTGGAAGTCATTGATAATATATAAACCTTCTCAAAATGTTCTAATTATGTACTAAATGTGACACAAACTGTACATCGTAATCTAACAGGGGAGCCTGTCCAGCAGTGTTTACCTAACTGCACTGACCATCTTAGACCAGTAAAGGAATTAATAAACACTTAAACTCTATCCTGAATCAGCTCATTCATATATATCAAGGATATACGTTATAAATATAAGTATCTATATGTAATAATAATATGTCCTGTACGTATTATGTAAATATAGGTCCCTAAATGTAAGTCCCTATATGTTCCATGTGTATTCTGTATATGTACATATCTTTTATAAAAAAAAGTCCCATATGTAATCTTTATATGTAGGTACCTATGTGTGATAATATTATGTTACATATGTATTCTATATAAGCATCTATATGTAATAAGGCATCAGCACAGAGTTCTGTTTCTGGCAGTATCTGAGCTCAAGGGTAGTTTGGACTCTGATCTATTTGAACTACTAGGATAGGTTCTATGTATACATATATGTATAAATATATATATGTATAGGTTCTATGTGTATGTGTATATATATATATATATATATATATATATATATATATATATATATATGTATGTATCGCTGTTGTTGAAACAAATCCTTGTATCTTCAAAATGGTAACTTTACAGAAGAAGGAAAAAACCTACTTTACTTTTAAGGTAAGACAATGGAACCAGACTTACTTCCAAGTAATTTTGGATTTTGGGTCGTTTCTTTTGTTCCATTCATCATGAAATTTAAAATGAATGTAAAGAGCAACAGGTATTTTCAAATTATGTCAAAATATGTAAAACAACAAAAATGGAGATTTTGTCCCATTGTGTGTGTATATATATATATATATATACACCGATCAGGCATAACATTATGACTTGTCCTTGTTTCTACGCTCATTGTCCATTTTATCAGCTCCACTTACTATATAGGTGCACTTTGTAGTTCTACAGTTACAGACTGTAGTCCATCTGTTTCTCTGATACTTTGTTAGCCCCCTTTTACCCTGTTCTTCAGTGGTCAGGACCCCCATGGACCCTCACAGAGCAGGTACTATTTGGGTGGTGGATCATTCTCAGCACTGCAGTAACACTGATGTGGTGGTGGTGTGTTAGTGTGTGTTGTGCTGGTCTGAGTGGATCAGACACAGCAGTGCTGCTGGAGTTTTTAAACACTGTGTCCATTCACTGTCCACTCTATTAGACACTCCTACCTTGTCATGTTATGCCTGATTGGTGTATAGATTTATGTTACATAGGTGTGTGTGTGTGTGTGTGTGTTTTCTCTTTGTTTCTATTTTTGCATAATTTAAAATGATTTAAAATTAAAATTAATTCAATTCATTTTTAAAGTTGCCATTCTGGAGGGACAATGTTTTGTTCAGACAATGACAATGTGTACCTGTCTATTTATGAAAATAATCTGTCTTATATGTATTATATAAATGTACATGCTTAAAAAAGACAGTTCTTCAAGGGTTCTTTAGTAAAACCAATGGTTCTATTTAGAACCATGAACACTCACAGAACCATTTCATACTTACATCTTTTTTTTGCTCTGCGAAACGTTTCGGCTATGGTGACAAAGAGTTCTGCTATTAAAGGGTTCTGCTATTTTTACATTTGTCAAGCTTGTAACAAGAACCCTTTTTGGTGCTATACTGAACCATTTTCAAAAAAGGTTCTATATAGAACCATATACAACACATTCTCCATCAGAAGAGTCATTTTGCCATGCAAAGAACCATTTAAGCATGCAGATGGTTTCATATAGAACCCATTGCCTTTGGCAAAGAACCCTTGAAGAACCATATTTTTAAGTGTGTAAATATCTGTATGGAATGAGAAAAGCCAAACTTAACTCTAGCCCTAACCTCATAAACACACACACACACACACACACACACACACACACACACACACACTAACAGTGTTTTTCATTGTGAGCTGAGAGGCAGTTAATTAGCGCTCAGTGACTCATTTAGCTCACCCATACTGTTAGCCTCTTCCACTGTCGGCCTGAACACTCTCACACAATGTGTTGGGAATTAGACAAAAACAGCAGACAAAGACGTTTTTCCCTCTGAGAGGCTCAAGAGACGCTCCAACGCCTGGACGCGGCGTACAGCCTCTAACACAGGTCACTGTACTGGACAGAGGCCACTCGGGCCTTTTGTTGTGCTAAGTAGCGCCGGGCAGCGTGATTCGCTTCTAAAAGCTGATGAACGTGCTTTTATTTTCCACTGGCCTTCTTACTGCTGTCTGTCTCTGTGAGTGTGCTGTACGCTCTTAAAAAAGACGCTACATAAAACCATGAGTTCTATATAGAACCATTTGCATGCTTAAATGGTTCTTTGCATGGTGAAATGGTTATTCGGATTAGATTAGAAGAACCTTATTAGTCCCACAATGGGTAAATTTCACCTCTGCAATCCAACCCATCTGTGCAGTGAAACACCACATACACACTAGTGAAGACAAACACTAGGGGGCAGTGAGCACACTTGCCCAGAGCGGTGGGCAGCCCTATCCACAGCACCTGGGGAGCAGTTGGGGGTTCGGTGTCTTGCTCAAGGGCACCTCAGTCACGTACTGTCAGCTCAGGGGATCGAACAAGGCTGGTTCCCTAACCTCCAGCCCACGACTGCCCCCTAGATTGATGGAGAATGTGTTGTATATGTTTCTCTATAGAACCTTTTTGAAAATGGTTCTATACAAGCACAAGTATGACATCATAACAATAGCAGAACCCTTTCTAGTGCTATACAGAACCATTTTCATAACACATTCTCCATCAATCTGAAGAACCATTTCACCATGCAAAGAACTGTTTAAGCATGAAATGGTTTTGTATAGAACTCATGGTTCTAAATACAACCATTCTCTTTACTAAAGAACCTTTGAAGAACCACCTTTTTAAAGCATGTAGATGGGTAAGTTTGGGAAAATCATGACGAGCTGTGTCCACTTTTAATCCACCGTCCACAGTTTCTTGGTTTCAGAAATTCAGTTTGAAGTAAACGTGTTATTAATACTAGTTAAACAAAGTAAATTTAATGTCTCAAGAATTATATTTTAGCGTTTTCAATTTCAGTTCTCACTATTAAAATTTAAATTCATTTCCCAATTAATTATAATAGTAAGAACAATTTTTATTAGCATGAATTAAATTTAATAAGTTAAATAAGTATGAATAAAATTCACGTTAAATTTTGAATTTCATTTCGTTTTTTTTTACTAGAGAAAATTAAATTGTTAGTCATATGCAAAAGTTATGCGCCCCGGTTAAATGATTAGATGAGATTTGAATTTCTTGATTAAATTTGAATTTCTTATATTAAGAAACTCAGAATGATTTTAAATCATAAATTGGAAATCATAACACATTTCGTTTTCGTTTCACTGTTATGTATTTCAGAGTGATTTCTCACGATATTAGAGGGGGTCTCTGAGCCAGCTGAGCACTTTTGCTGGATTATAGGTGGGGTGGTGGGAGGTGAAACATGATATTATTGGTAAATATTATTTTTTGCACTGTGACTTAATCACAACTCAGCAGATGTTTCAGAGGAAGGCAAAAATCACTGCATTTTGAGGGAAGATTACAAGAAATCAAGAATTTTGTATTTTAAATGATATAATTAATCATGAATTGAGGTAAAAAGTCAATTAATATTTCATGTTGACTTTAATGCTGAATGCTTAAGTTCAAAGTTGAGGACTGACCAATAGAAATGACCCTGGCTCCTCATGCTGTTGGACAGACTTGAGTCTGAGCTTAATTTTTCTGGCTGAGAAATCTGCCTTGTGAAATGCGCATTGTTTCTTTTTGATGTTGCATTAAATGCAAAATGTGACTGATGTGTTGAAACTTGTGTGTCAGGTTTGGTCAGAGAGCGACTGCTATTCTGATGAGCTCCTCTGTGGAGGATCCTGTACAGCTGCCCTCAGACTACAGCTCCGCCCACAGTCAGGAGGTGGAGTTCAGGTCAGTCTGGATGGTCCATTTTCATTCTTAAACCTGCATTCAATCAAATTACACTTCATTATGTATGCTTCTCATTTTGAACTAAGGAGAAAACTGTATTTCAGAACAAACTTCTACAAAAATCTCACCTTGTAAATGTTGGCAGCTGTTTAATTAAGCAATAAGCCACTGGAGGCCATGCGTTACTGCAGTTTATCACAGGGAAGGGTGTTTTTAGGCATGCAAAGAGGAGTAAAACTTAAATAACGGATATTTTTGAACAAAAAATATTTATTTATAAAGATTTAGTGGGGTATTTGGTAAATTGGTGCCATTTGGCAGCAATGCGAAATCGTACCATGGCACCACAAAATCTAAAAAAAAGCACCATAAAATTTTAATTTCTCTAAAAAACATCTTTTTATCCTTCTATTGAAAACAGGAACAAACAAATCCAACTTATACTTAGTGAAATGTACGACCCAGTATTTACAAATATTGGAAATGAATACAATTTCAATTGGTATTTGGAATGTATGGTAATAACAACATCATAATAAAGAATTCCTGGTCATGTGATGCCATGAAATATTTGTCCTTTCAAAGTAAAAGACCCTTTTTCCACAACTAAATAAGAAAACTCAGATTTTATATCACTGCTTTTTTAGTAAAATTAAGATAAAGTAATTGTTGCCATATGGCAACACTGTGCAGTAGAGGGTTAAACAGTGTGGACCGACACCAGAACAGACAACAGACACCATGACATCTAGATGTTTTGCTTAATATTTTAAATATTTCAATTTTGGGAACAACAAGACTATGAAATGATGAATAATAAACTGTAACTATTTATTTATTGTAATTACTTTGAAAGTTTTCGGCCTTGAAATTTGATCACTTTTCATATAAGAGGCATTCTGGATGTTGACTTAATTATTTTAAACAATACAAATTGGTTTTGAGTGTTTCCAAACTTTTAAACAGTGGTTGCTGAATAACTATTCGTTTGCGTGGTTAGGTCTGGTAGACATGCTGATGCCATCTTCACCAACAGCTACAGGAAGGTTCTCGGCCAAATATCAGCCAGAAAGTTCCTCCAAACAATCATGGGCAAAAGACTTGAGTAAGTATTACTTACAGAGTATTTATGCTTCTGATGAAGGTTTAATACAGTATCTCACACGTTCTGTATATTCTGACGTACTTGTTTTCCTTCAATAACAGGCCGCCATCTGAAAGCTACACGAAACGCCAGGCTGGGATTTTTGAGGACACCTTCAAACAGGACCTGACGTCCATTGAGAGGGAAGAAAGTTACAGAGCAAAGACTACAGAGTCTTAAATAACTCCACAGCTCACGTTTCGATGATTTTATGTATGTGCGACTTCATACATTACTTCTCCAAACTTTTACTCATTGTCCTTTCAGTCAGTGCGGTCCGTGTGCTTGTGTACTGATGATAAAGAGAAATGTGTACAGGATCAGCATAGAAAACAAGAAGAAGTCCATTATTAGTTTTATATATACTATATAATAGTTAATTTACTTGTAACCACATAAACATTTTTTTAGGTTGAATTGACAAGCCATGTTTTACACTGTAACTACTGCATTCTCTGCAACTCTTAGTGCACAATTTCTAGTTATTTACTTAATTTATCATATTGGATAAAAAAAAAAAACATTAAATGTGCAATAACTTTTGCACATGCCACATTTTATGTTTTTTTCCCCCTCCAATATGTTACATTTAGTAAATAAACAGTGTTTGTGCATTAAAATGTGCAGAAGTGTGTTCTCTGTAGAGGACGTGTTCATTTATTTCCACTTCGAAAATCAACAACACGTAACTTGAGGCGCCGAAACGTTTGCATATGACTAAATAATTCTTTGAGTACCTCCATACTTTAATTTTTTTCTAAATATTTGCAAACTTAAATGGTTATGATGTTAACAAAGTCATTCAGAGTGATCTGATGTGAAATGAAACTTACCAGCTCAGAACTGTTCACAATGGTGGTGATAGGAACCAGACGTCCAAAGCATTTACTGCCTCAAGTTTACATGAAATGGTTATGAATGTGCTGCCTGATGTCTGGGAGATTGTTTTATGGTAGTTTTTCAATACATCATTTGACTTAAAACATTTTTAAAGGTATTCATGCACTGTAAGAAAAAAGGTTCTATGCAGGTACATTTTAGTTCATCAAGGTATAAACAAAGCAAATGGAATTTCAAAGGTATAACAGTGGTTTTAAGGTCCAACTGAATATCTAAGTCTTTTTCCCCAGGGGGAAAATATGCATTTGAATCTTTTCATAACCCTAATGTTTCACAACAGAGAAGTAAAATTCAAAGCCTGGAGTCAAAACAAGGTGTATGAAGGCAGTGCAACTTAAAAATACAGGGTGGTTCAAAAAGATTCATTGACTGAAAAATATTCATTTCACTTGTAAATTATTACAGATCAATGCAGTGAACTGTAAATGGTTTAAATGAGCATAAAGTTTATTATGTAATTGTACAAGGTCTCAGTATGAACCTCCTCCAGCTGTACGGACAACATCAACACCATAGTCAAACTCATCCCATACTGGATTGAGCATGTCGGGTGTCGCTGCACTCACGGCTCTTTCAGTGCGATTTTGGAGATCATGTTGTTGGGAGTGGCACATAAACAGAATCCTTAACGTACCCTACAACAACAGTCACACGGCGTGAGATCTGGTGATGCTGGTGACCTTTTTCTTGGAACTGTTGGCACCAACGACGAATCCTCTGAGCTGTTGGAGGTTCACTGCCAGACTGACAGTCAGAAACTCTATGACCCCCTCTTTCAATTGGATTGTGATTGGTTCCTAGGCGCCTCACGGTTGTAAAAATATGCCGCTTTGAAATCTGAATCTTTTAGAATCACCCTGTATGACTGCAATAGAATATAGTTCCATTATTTTCCACAACTACAGGTACTGAAGACGCTCCACAGTGGTTAGGGGTGCCGCCCCAGTGACAGTTTAGTACCTTCTTTCTCCGAGTGTGGTGCAGAGGTACATGCAAGGCGCTGTAAAGTGAAATAGTCCCCGAAGAAAACTTATTTTTTCAGATTTAGATTCACTATTTTACCATCAACATTACATATAAAGCTCAGAAGACACATATAGGTTCACTGGTGGTTCTGGATCTTAAATAAAATGGCTATACCTGCGCAGACAGTGTGACCCCTGGCTCCTATCGCCACCACTGTAAAGAAATCTGAGTCTGTAAATTTCTCTACTATGAACGATTTCACATTAAACCACTCTGAGTTTGGTTACACCACAACCACTGAATTACACTGACATTTTGAAATATCCATGATAAGGTAGGATATTTACTGACATGACATTTGCATGGGATTAATATACTAATATAAACTGGGTGATGTTGGAGCTCAGTCTATAAACATTACTAGTGTATTTGGACACGACTAAAATCTCTAAAAACACTGCTAATAACTACATCACCCCACCTGCCTATAAAACTAATAGTACTTTAAATTGTCAGTAAACCCTGAAAGAGGAACTGAAATAATAAAAATGTTTCCAGCATTTTTAACAGCTTTGTTGGTCTGTAAACTGGCTCTTTTCATCAGTACTCTTACTTTAAGTTTTTCCATGTTATTAAATGTTATATTCATGCTAAGGGTTGGGTTTGAATGCATTTTACATGTTTTGTGTTGTTTACCAGTTCAGGAATTGGTCACTGAGGCTGGCAAAAGAACAGGAAACAATTAAAACTCTCACAGATGGACAATTTTCCCCTCATATTAGTGCTGTGTTTTTCTGCATAGAATGCATCATTCATAAATTTTTTAAATGTTTTATCGCAATATTTTTAGCCAAAACCAAGAAACTCACATCAGCAATTTTATTGACTAAATTGATAAATCGATCAGGCCCTATGCCGTCATATATGCATGTGACCGTAGAAGGGTTTGCAATGAGAAGTGAATTATGCAAAAGTTGTAAGATCTATTTTCAGAAATATTAAACTAGTTAAACCATCCTGCTTTTCACACCTCAAACCATATCGAACTTTCTGTATAATTAAATAGTTTAGACGTAAATAAAGTCATTCAGAGTGGTTTGGTGTGAAATGCTCCATTCTGGAGAGTCAGAATTGTTCACAGTGGTGGTGATAGGAACCAGACGTCCACCTCTAAAAGCTCCCTCACAGAAAGTTACTACATGAAATGGTTATGAATTCACTGCCTGATGTCTGAGACACTGTATTACAATAGTTTTGAGATTTTGCTCCAAAGGAGATACGTTCAGGCCATTAAGTAGACAAGGTAATCCCCAAATAACATGTTTCACCATCATTAACGTTACATATAAATCCCAGAAGACAAATGTAGATCTGCTGGTGGTTTTCAATAGTAAATAAAATGTCTATATTTGTGTTGTAGACATGGTGACCCCTGGTTCCTATCACCACCACTGTAAAGAGTCGGTAAGCTTCTCTAAAATGAAGCATTTTACATCAAACCACTAAGAATGACTGTTTACATCTCCATGACTGAATTTTGCAAAAATTTGGAAAAATCCGTGGAACCACCGGTGATTCCAAAACGCACTTTATCATAATCTTCACTTCATAACTTTCATATTTGTATAAGCTACATTCTAAAGGTGGGGGTCGTATGAGAGCTGTAACTGTCTTCTTTCCAGTCAAATAGATGGGTGATGTAGTTTTAAACCCTTATAATAAAAGAAGCTGAACTCACAATTTTTTTTCTACTGAAAGTCGACCCATTTTTCCACAAATCTGGGCTATAAACTATAAACAGATGGCGTCTCTTCAGTGATCTGCTCTGTAAACATTATTTTTATAAAATAATACAAAGAGCGTCTAAGATTTTTGGCTTTCAGCAGTAAATTGTAAGCATATGGCAATATGTGTGATCATAAAACACGTTTTCTGGTAATTTGAGGGGAGCTTTTACAAAAAAAAAAAACCCAAAACTTTACATTTACTGCTACTGCAGTTACTGAATAATTTGCCTTACGATTTGAGCAAGTAAATTCAGATGGGAAAACCGAAATATACCCACGAGCATAAGAGGTTAAACTCAAAAAAACTGAACCAAGACCAGTGGTTTTTCTTTTTAATTTGTTTTTTCATTACAAAAAAATGTTTGCCGAGTTGAGTTCAGTGTGGTCAGAGCTGTAAAACTGGCAGAGAGAGGGTGATGGGGACAAAATCAACAGTCTATCCTAATTAACACACTGTATTAACCTTCTTTAGGAATGAAGCACGTTGAAGTAGCACAGATCCTCTCTGCCACGGATGAAGAAAAACAACAAACAAACAAAAACCTCTTAATGACAGCCCAAAAATAGTTAGAACCTTTGAAAAATGGTGACAAAATGAGAAGATGAGAGATTTTATGAATTTTTACAGCTTTCTGAAAACACCCGGGAACACACCTGAACAGAGTCAGCAATAACCATGTCAAACCACCCCAATGTATCAATCTTACAGTGCATTCAGTTTTCCATTAAAAGGAAGAATGTAATGAAAATGTCAAACTGCATTCTTGTTTTCAGATTTGGAGGTTTTTTTTTTTGTTCCAGGACAGTCTATTGAAAATGAGCTGTGCTGAGCCGTCACTGCCACACTACTTAGCTTCCATGAACCTTATGCTTCGCTTGCCAGGATTCTTTACTTAAATAAAGACATGAACGAAAATGAAGCGCCGGTCTTCTCACGACTGTTTTCGTAGATCATTTACCTTCATGTCTGAAAGAAAAAGAAGAAAACAATAAAACAGTTAAGACATAAAACAGCCACAAGCTTGGCTAATAGTGATGATGGTTAAAATGAACTGGACAAAAGTGACAATGGCCTGAACTCTGCACTGAAAACAGATTGGGGGAAATCATGCAATTCTTTTGACCAGGCGACAAGGAGGTTTTTCACTTGCAAATCGCAGACATGGAGACAAAAAGCTCCATGTTCACCTCAAAGTAAAACCTCAGTGCCCCAATCAAGGCTTAACAACCTTTCACCACAAATGTGACTCATTAGGAACGAACAGAAAACAACAACAATGGCAAGAACGCAGCACCACCACTGGTTAATGAGGATGAGTTACACACTGAAGCTTATGATGATGAAACGTATTCACGAATGGCCATGAATGACGTCTCGGTACGGCCCACGTGGTGCAAGAAACACTGCCATGCATTTACATAGCGGATGGTGAAACGGGTGCCGCTCTTTTATGGATGCGGAGGTGGCAAAAACAAGTCTTACTTCAGCCTGGAAGACCTGGCTTTGTTACTATCAAAAGGCCTTTTACCGCAGACTCCTATACTTAGCCAACCTACTACTCTGCTCAGCAGCGATCCTAGAAGAGGAGGAGAGAAAGGAGAGAAGCAGCAGAAAAGGAGGTTAAAGCTTTTAAAGGTTTCTTTGAAAAATCTAATTTACACAATGTTTCCCCACAGCTGATCAGCCAAGACGTGTTTGGTGTTTGAAGTTTGCTGCTTTATTTTTGCTCTGGAGCTTTGAGGCTAATATCCAGATGGCAAACTTAAGGGTGGCATTTTATGCAAATGTTGGTGCACAATTTCTATTTACTTGCCGAGTTTCACATATATTTGTTTTATTATTTTGTGACGTTTACATACATCCGTTAATAATCCAACTAACAGCTCAATTGGAATAGAATTTGTCCATGTAAACACCTCGATCAGAATAGTCTAGTCTGATTGAGGCCATTCGGAATACAGTTCCTATCTGACTGAACAAGGTGGGTAATCCTGTAAATAATCCGTTAAATAGAAGAATAATATCCGTGTAAACGCCTGTATCTGATTACATTCCCTATCGGAGAGTTTAAGTCCGTTCTGATCATGTTCGTCACGTCATTGCAAAAGTTTATAATATTCAACATGGCGGAGCAGAAACTGGTCTGCAGAGGAGACGAAGTTTATGCTCTGATCTTTAAAAGACGGCGGTGGGACGGACGTCCAGCTTATGTGTCTCGGAACACAACGTCTTCCTCTCGGCCTTCTTTAATAAGGACATATGAAGGACGTTTTCCTGAGTCTGACATCATTTTAAAGGGATTAAAAACACAAGAGCTGCTCACTGCTGCTCATCTCATTCTGATTGGACTCAAGAGATGCTGGTTGTTATGGTAACATCTACACTAAGTGGTTCTCTACGCATGAGCGTCATTTTGGATCTGATTACTTGTAGTGAGCATGTAAACGAAGATTTTCCATCAGATTGTTGGGTAGAGAATATAAACACCTCAGTCTTGATCTGTAGAATCGAAATGTAATCATGGAACGTATTCCACATTATGTTTTAATTTTTTTCAATATGTTCAGCAAATAAACAGGCTTTGAGCATTAAAACGTGGATGTTTATCCATAACGCAAAACTACTTTTTTGCTAAAACCATTTGCCAATATTACAGCACAGTGATACAATAATTGGGCGTGTTTTGCTCCACATTTTTTCTTTATTTTGCAGAACTGTTCTATATAAAAGTCCTTGTGATGATGGACGTGGTGATGTGATAACACACTCAGTTCAGTGTTGCGATGCTCATGTATGACACTGTTATAAAAATGGACACAGCAAGTTGAATAAAAGCAATAGCAGCAGCCACCTTTAAGTCTTTGTCCATTTATATAAAAAACAGTTTGTCATACAGATAAATATAAACCACATAAACCAGACTATGAGTTTATTTAACAACCTGATGTGGTTTTATGCAAGTGTGCAATGATGTATTCATGCAGGTCAAACGATTCCACTGCTTGTCAGCATCATTTGTCTTGTATCTGAAGTGCAAATACTAAAGAAGCAAATTTTAGACATCAAACATGGCTTGATTGACCGACTGACTACATTTGGGAGGAAAACTGTCTACATTTGATTTTTCACAGAACCATTCCTTTAAGTGAGCAAGAGAGACTCGCTCATGGAAGGAGAGAAGAACAGGGTTAACTAGTGTGAAAGTGTAAAAGAGTGGAGAAAAAGTTGGCACTTTCCATAAAATCATTCAAAATAAAAGAAAAGATAATTAGCAGCAGCAAAGAGGTTTGGAAAGTAGGTTTAATTTAAGCCTTAAAGTACTCAAAGAAGTTTCTAGCTGCATCGATAAAGCCTTTACCTCCCTATGGAGGTTTCTGAGGACACTACACACTAATGGGGTGAAGGTTCGCTATCCATCTGCTCCCTATGGACATGAGGTACAGAGTGCACATGCTACTTTATGAAGCCGGAGCATCATGACCGACACATAGAGCAGGCGGTGAAGTGGCAGAGTAAGTCAGATGGGATTTGTGCTCAATAACCCCCCAATTTACTCAAGCACACTCAAATCGCTCGGTTACACTGATCTCAGATCTGTTCTGCTGATTCTCATGATAATGCTTAAGTTCAGGGAGGGAACAGTGATGCAGTTTGGTTTGGGAGGCCCTTTAAGAGTGCACAGCATGTAGGAGCCAGTCGTTATGAAAATGAAAGTCCCTGAGTGTGTATACATGCACTCAATAATCTGATCATAATCAGACTTCTGCAGTTATCCGATTATTCAAATGGTCATGTAAACACCAAACTCTAATCTAGAAATCCGATTAAGAAATCTGATAAACAGAGCTGGATTTTAGTTCAGTAATCAGATTTCTCAGTGCATGTAAACTCTAACTCTGATTTCCTTCGGATTTGTCAGTCTGCGCATGTGCGAGATCAGACGGTGGATGTCGCGAGACGCAGCAAAACACTTTTGGAGTGGCGCTGAAACCAAACACGGAATAAAGGATTGAAATATTCATCTTCTAGATGATGGATGTTCATATTTCAGGTAAAGCGGTGCGATTAAAAAAGAAAAAAAAAAAAAAGTCTTCTTCTGTGAGTTTATTGGGTGGTTGCAAAGTAAAAATCTGATTGATTACTGTCTGTCTCATGTAGACCCGGAGTTTCTCCATTATCTGATTACTCAAGAGCATGTAAACGTGCTGATCAGATTTCTGACAAAATCAAATTTTCTGCAGTTATCGGATTATTAAGTGCATGTAAACACACTCACTGATACCAATACCAATATTAAAGAGCTAAAAATTCTGCTTAGTGATAATATCAGACAAAATAATTTTATATGGTCAAAAATTAAAAAGACTAGAACAGTTTTAGTTAAGTGGTGCTTTACTGGCTATCAGATCTCCATTATCAAATTTCTGAAGCTCAAATGAATGACAGAAACTTAGTCTTAAATAAGGTAAAAATGAAACAAGGCATTTTGTGAATAACCTTAACTTTAAAATAGGTAAATAACATGAACTCACAATGCTGAACTCAAAATAAGAGAAAGTTTAAAGTTTACTGTCCTACTTAGCATCAGCACACTTAAAAATCTATAAACGTGTCACATGGTTTTGTTGGCCAAACAGTGCATCAGTGAGGCCCGAGATAAAGTGAAAAATAAAAAAAAAAAACAAATGTCTGCAAACTTAATATCAAAGCTCCCTTATTTATTCCCGAATTATTGCAACATTTCAAGCTCTACAGTCTTTAACAGGCAAAATAAATAAAGTCTTGGGTTCACTACAAGTCTGAATAGACTGGGAATCTGAAAAGACTGGGCGTCTCACACTATCTGACTGTTTTTTGCTGATTTTTCTTGGGCGACTGAAATATTGGGGATCCACACTAAACGATTAGGAATCACACACTACTCAACTTTTCAGCTGCTGCTGAACTAAACAAGCATGGAGCTGCTGCTGCTGTTTTCTTTGCCGTTTGCGCTGAAACAGTAAAGAAGCAGCAGATAAACATGTTTAAGTCAGAATCATGGATTTAAAATTTGGTATTCTGAGAGTTTTAAATGTACATAAACTCGATTGTGCTTTAAACTCAACTCGTTAAAAAGCTTTGCTCCACACTCGAGAGACTTTTTGCCATTTTTCTTTGTTTACTTGCTGTATTTTCTTCTTTCGCTCTCTCTGTTTTCACTGGCTGTTGGAGGAAAAATCAAACATGTTTGATAAACTCTGACTGGTCTGAAACACGATCGGGAGGCCAAAACTCTAAGTCTGCGCCCCTCAAACATGACTCGACTCTCTCTCCAACTGTTGACTCCGACTGACTCAAAAATCTGCAGACTAGAGCCGACCAGCTCAGACTCAGCCAGACTGAGAATAGTGGCTAAAAACAGGGTAAAAGCCGTGTAATGTAACCCCAGCTTAAGTAAATGAATCAGCAGAGGTCAAAACACTGCATCAATGCAACAGTGCACAAGGTAGCTTTGATATTAATAGGGTGCGGTCATTTCTTTTTACTTTTCAGTGCTCTTTTGTGTCCGGCACTGTGTCCGTGGGATGCCCACACACTTATGAATGCTGTACCCTAAGATCAGGTTCCATTAATCTCACTGTGAAGGTGAGTTAGATGTAAAATAATGCAGGATGTACCTTTTAACTGCTTTCTGGGCCAGCATTCGGTTCCCGGCCAGGAACGTGAGACTGCCGACAATGGCCAGATACTTAAGGGTCTGGAACATGTTGAGGTGAGTCCAGTACACATACATCAGGCCCAGCATGGCTACAAAAGAGAGAACAGGGAAACAGTGCAAAAGAACATCAAGATCCATTAGGTACCAAGATTACATCTCCAAAATTAAAAAATACAGGGGCAAGGAGGGATGACCTCAAGTGGGGTCATGATACACTACAGAACAGACTTGTCCATTTAGTGGAACTGAATTTGCCTTATTCCTATAATAATTTTATAAGGTTTCTTTATTGTACATACTATAATATTCTTACAGAACAAGCAGGGAGAGGCAACAAATCTTTGGTCTACCAATAGATCTGTAATTAAAACAATATAAAACAACGCTAAAATAAAAAATTGTTGCACATGTTGCAATATTAAGGCTTTTGCATAATGCATATGCAATTTTAATACCAAAATCAAAGACATTTGGCTTGCCTAGTCCCTTTTTTTAGGAGGTACCACGATTTAACGCATTACACAGATTCGATTGATGATAGTTGGAGGGTAAATGTGTTTGTGTGCGCTCACCTGCATGCCCGACGTGGAAGAGCACCGAACTGGGGGAAAAACTGAAGTTCGAAATGTTGGCACCCAGCTTAAACCACTGCACAGAAAAAAGAAGCCCGATTAAAAACTAAAACATTCTTTAGAGAGACCTTAATACAGTCAAAACGCTAAGCACTTCTTTCTTTCTATGTAAACAACTGTATGTCCAATGTATTATAAAGTATTACAGCATTTCGTTCTCAGCATCTGACAGTACAGCACACTGTATCAGCCTCAGTACAAGCCAACGTCAAATCACACAACACTTCCATGCCGTGTGAAGCTCTTACCAGAATGAGCAGCAGCAGGAAAGGAGAGAGAACGAGGGCAGTGAAGGTGTTGGACAGCACAGTGGGCGGCCTCTTCTCCGGCTCACGGAACAGATGCTAGAAGCACAGAACAACAGCTTTATAAATACTGTGATGAGAGTAATGATTCATGCTCAGTGTATGATTTTATGCCACACCACCAAAAAGCTACAGACACTGCACCATTCTTTTGTATGGCTATATTAGCCTCATCTTGAGCTTGTCAAATCGGCAGCCTGAGCAAACAGTATAAAAATACCTTGTAATATTTATTAGTTTAGATAGTAATAACATTTTGCTCATGATATGTACATTAGAACCCAAATGATCAGCCATAAGGCTGTGCCAGTAAAACAACGCTCTTTTTCAGGGAACTGTGTGGAAAATAACCACAGCAAACAGCTAAACTGGAACTTATATCCTTTTTTTTTCATGTAACGTTTATACACTTTTCCTAACATTGAAACAGACCCAGGAGTAAACACACACACAGTTTGTGGGCTGAAGCTTAATTTTACACAAATAAAATATATTTAAATGAAGTAACATAGTGAAGTTCAGTAAAGCTGCATGTGTATTATTTTGTAATTTTTAATATGGTCACAAAACTGCAAATAATCTAGTAAGTAAAACCAGAACCATGTCCAAGTATAAACGTTCAGTTATGTTCACGTGGGGAAATAATACTATTTTGCTATGATTTTCATAAAATAAATCAATACATTAATATTTTCTAAACCAGTGGCAAACGAGTTGTCGCCATCACTGGGGGCAGTTACTACGGAATCACAGTTACCTGTCACCAGCCAAAGGCCTTGTTGGTGCACAATGTTGGCTAATATTGATGGCCGGTTTTATCTGTATCAGCAAAAATGCCCCAATAGTTAATGACTTTTTTTGGTTGCAGCATCGCTGGGATTCAGGCTTGATATTTCATGTCGCTTAGACTGAGAGACAAGCTTATGTCGCTTGTCTCTCAGTCTAAGTCGCACCCAAAACCACACACAGTCACAACCACCGCTCTGACACGGAGACAAAGAAGTCCACATATGTGGCGACTTTGCTCCGTTTGACTGAGTTGAATTGCAAGGTATAAATAGTGTTTGTAGACCTGTCTGTACACCACCTGTTATTCAGCTTCAGTGCACAGTGTGGCTCAAGTTAGCAAAGCTGTTTTATGCCTGTCTTAAGAGTTGAAATACAAAAATCTAATTGAAATTAGAAAAAATTAACAGAAAGCAAAAACCTCCCTCAGTGCTACAATATTTATATTACTTATACTGAGTTTCTGCTGTTTTGAGTTTGATAAACATGATTATTGAGAACTGCTGATTATATCAGTGATTAAAGTCATTAAAGCACTGTTTAACTACTGGGGAATAAATTTAAATTTACAATCTAAAATCATATTAGCCATTATTATGGAAATTTTTAGTCCCTGAAATCGGTATCAGCCACAAAATTTTCATATTTGTCCCTGGTCTACATATTCACTCAAAACGTGCTGAAAACACTTACAGTATTTAAACACATTGTGCGTCCAGTTAAAGTGGAATTCCACTGACTGTAAACAAAGTCAGCAAATGTAAACAAAACCAAATGGTTTGAAGTGAAATACTCCGTTCTACTGAAACCTACAGAGCTAGAATTCTTCTCAGTGGTGGTGATAGGAACCAGACATCTGAAGTTTAACGCCTCTAAAAGCTCCGTCCCAAAAAGTTGATGAAATTTTTTTCTTGTATTTTTTTGAAGCCGTTCATGACGGACAGATACACGCAGTGTTGTATGGTAAAGCAGTCCCTAAAGAAAACTTTTTTTTTTTCAGGTTTATCACTCTTTTACCATCAACATTTCAAACCTCAGAAGACGTATAGGTTCACTAATGGCTTTGTACAGGGAGATTCACTCGAAAGAGGCCCTGAATATTCTGTAATAACTCTCAAATTGTAAGCTGCTCTGGATCTGGAGCGTCTGCCAAACGCCATAAATGTAAATGTACAATAAATAAAATGGCTATATTTATTTAATAAACTGAAGACCCCTGGTTCCCATCACCAAGACTGTAAAGAGGTTACGAGTCGGGATGTTTCTGTACAATGCACCATTTCACATGAAACCACTATGAAAGACTTTATTTACATCTCTATTGCTGAAATATGTAGAAATAAAAAAATATATAAAATCAATAGAATCAGCAGCAGGACAACATACTTTGTGTTACTTTTTATACAGGGGTCCCAAACATTTTGTCTTAGAGGGTATATTTCTAGTGGGCCATGATCCAAAAAAACTGGCTGCATTTCTTTGAAATTTCTAACGGTTTTCTCACATACGAGGCACACTGCCTTGCCTTTAAATTCAGTGGAAAGAAATTCTTTACACCAGTGGTCTACGAATCTATGAATTAGGCAACGTTCTGGTGGGCCAAATCAAATAGCCTTATAGGCCAACTTTGACCCTTGGGCCTGATTTCAGACAGCCCTGCTTTAACACAACCAGTCTATGTTCTTATAAGTAACATCACTACATATAATATGATGGTCAAACTTTAATATTTATTTAGTGTTAAAACAGCACAGCCTACAGTATGAGAAGGCTGCCTACCTGTATCTCTGGTTTGGGAACATACAGATTCTTAGACTGAACGGTTGATGGAGCCTCTTCATCAGGGAATTTGAGGACGACGTCCGCCTTTAAGGAGAGTCACATTTGAACAATTAAACATAATAATGACGTCAAACCTTGTGCAATATGTTTCAGCATGCTGGTCCAGAGACATGAAATTAACCATTAAACCTCTCGCCAAGTTTACAACGGTTCCATACCACGTTCCATAGGACTGGGTTCTCCAGTGTAGCATCTCCCACCATCAGATAGAGAGCGTAGGTGCCAGAGATGGAGTCAAACTCTGTCTTCCTCTCTGCCGTGTCCAGCTCAAACTTGTACAGGTTCTTGCTGTCCGGCTCGGCCACAAACACCACCTCCTGGCCTGTTTTCTGATTATGCAGCCTCACAAAGGTCTGAGAAGGGCAAAGAGGGATTAGTTCACTCAAGAACTGAAGTGGTATAAGGGATGAGTTGATGCCAAAACAGACATCTTTCCATAGTAAAGAGCAAAACAAAAATGCCCTATAAAAATGTTTGACTTTGGGTTTAATTAAATGCTTTTTTTGGTGACACAGCCTTTCACTATAGCTTAACATTGAGGATGGAAAATTGGGGTAAGTTTACTTAATTACTTACATACAAGTTCAAAAGACCTACATTAGCTACTCATTAGGGGTATTAATCTCAGACCTTATGCTAATTTGACTTGACGATTCTTTAGCAAATGAGTAAATGACTCTTATTCACAATTACAACATTATTAAAGTTCTTTTTAAACCGGACCAATACACAAACCTGACTGGAGGAACTACACTGACCGGCCACCGATTTATTTTTTTAATTATTTATTTACGGCCAAAAACTTGGAAAATATTTCATATAAAATATGCTATGGGGGAAAAATGCACAGAAATGCGCGTCTTTCTTACTGTAGTAGACACCAGCAGTATCAGGGTATTAGTAAATTCAATTTATTCCTTTTTTAACTGTTTAATGTTGCTTTAAGCTGGTCATTTCATGAACTTGTCACAGATGCAAATATCACTGTTTACTGCAAAAATCTTCATGAGTCTGAGTTCTAACCCTATGATAATGCTAATTTCTGCTAGTGATTCTATGGTAATTGGTAATTTTCCATTTTTATTCTAATTTCTGCCAGGCTAACAGTGGTGTGTGCTACTTCCCTCATTGGGTATAACACTATGTAAGCCAGCTCTACTTAAACACAGTGATCTGAAGTTTGTAACAAACATTGACGTAGCATATTCTTTATTTTGTATTGTAGTTTTACAGTACAATCCTTCAGTAAAGCCTCATATGAACTGAATATTATTGGAGTAGCCTGTAAGCTGCTCAGCCCAGACTTTATTAAACACAACCCTAAATAAAAGTTCACATACAATTATTTTATATATGCAATCAGTCACAGCAAAAATTACATTTTACTTAATCTATATGCAATTTGTAAACACAAACATGCATGCACTTGTGAGCTCCTGCTGGTGTGGGTTTCCTCTCTTTCAAAGACACACACAAAAGGGCCATTCTACAGAAACGTCCATTTTTGTGTCCCTAGTGTTTACAGATATATTACACTTAAAAAACATGTTAGGATTTACAATCTACAATAAGTTAGTTTAACAATAACACCTTCTTGAGCCTCAATTTAGCAATATCTAGAATTCCAAGCACCACAGAAGTGCTTGTCCCCACAGTCATGATATTTCATATTTTGGGGAAAAAAAAAAAATTCACACTGATGACATCACTTGACCTCCTTTTACCTGTTTTCTGAGGATCTATGAAGAAAACCACATGGTGAGTCCACTGTGTCTTTCAGTTATCAGAGATTTTCTCATTTAGCTCATGATTTCATATGAAGCTTTTAGCTGAAGTCACTGGTGTGACCGACTTTATTCTGAGGTAATTGTGAAAAATAGAATAAAAAATGGATTAAATTACATATTTTAGTGGATATTCCATGATTGACAACATGTGGTTTGAGGCTCTGTAGCAGCCGTTTTTAATATGCATTTTTCATTTAAAATGTCTGGTGTTGCCTTTCTTACGTGTGACACCAATGAGGATCAGTAACACCAGTGACACCTATGGATAGATAGAAAAGTGGACGTTTCTGTAGAATGACCCAAAAGCAACTTAAATGCTAACATCTCCCCCTTGTGGAGAACGGTCAAACTATTAAATAGGCTTCACAAAGACCTGTGAATACCCTGTAAATTGTGAACTCACCACTAAACCGATTAAGTTAAAAGATTACTCTATAAAAAAAATCAAAGTAATCACTTAATTGAGTAACTGTGATAGCCCTAATATTCACATTACTTCTGAGATGTATGCTACGTGCTTTTATTCATGACATTAAACGCTGTAAAGATGCAGGACCTGGACTTTCACTTCCTTTTTGTTAATACAGTATTGAATATAATAGTGAATTCTGAGTCAGCTAAAAGAAATGATGGCCAATTTGTGTCAATCTTGCATCCTGACACTTCACACACAGAAATCTTACAGTTCTTTTAATACGCTATATGTGGTTGCGGTACATACCTGGTGAGGAGTGAGCTCTACTCCAGTAGTATCATCTACCAGCTGGAAGGTCATAGCAAAATTCTGGTGACTGTCTGCTATGAAGGAGGCCTTGGCCTTGTTGGGATATTCAACCCTAAGAACAAAAATCAATTTAAATATAAATAAATTCTACCATAAATGGATTCAGGTTAGATTTATCCAAGGGCTTATTCTCACCTTGTGGTCTTGGTGCCGATGCTTTGGTCCTTGTCCACCACAGACAGGTCCATGTTGTTGATGGCCACCTTGGTGGACACCTTCACCTTGAGCTAAGGATATGGAAAGGGAAAGATCTGAAATATTAGAATAACTGAACACTTCAAACCAGGTAAAAGCAACGTGCAAAACAGCATATACTTAAATGGTTAAAGAAAGAGGGCTTTGTGTGGTGTACTGAAAAACATGTGGGCCTTTTGTTCAGGGACAGAGTCCTACAAAGGATTAGAGGCTGACCTCAGACGAAGTCTTTTTGGAGACAAGTGACCTCCACTTGACCTCACTATTGGATAGTACATCTACTAAATAATTGCTCTTTCAAAGCCGCACTAATTTGACTAAATTGGAGAATGAATCACCAGCTGCTCCAACAAATAACAGGAGAACTGGGGGCAACTTTTTGACCTTTCATAAAACAAGAGTTTGAAGCAGATTGTGCAATTATTCAGATCAACATAGTCACGTCAAAATTTCCAACACAGAAAACAGGAATGCACAGGTAGTTTATTGCCATATCAAAAAGACAACTCACCTCAACATGGTTGGCGACCAATCGGGTGTCCCCGGTTACAGCTACAGAGAACTGATAGTAACCACTGGCAGGCTTGCTGGCCATGAAGTTCAGCTCAAAAATCCCACTGAATGTGAAGAAAATATTTCAGCACATGGCTATTTTTCAATATTCGCCACCAATTATGTCAGACAAAGCAAACCTGCACTCAACTCACGTCATTCCACTAATATGCACCAATCAGGCATAACATTATGACCACCTCCTTGTTTCTATGCTCATTGTCCATTTTATCAGCTCCACTTAGTATATAGGTGCACTTTGTAGTTCTACAGTTACAGACTGTAGTCCATCTGTTTCTCTGCATACTTTGTTAGCCCCCTTTTACCCTGTTCTTCAGTGGTCAGGACCCCCATGGACCCTCACAGAGCACAATGGTACAATTTTGCTACAAACAAAGTATGCAGAGAAACAGATGGACTACAGTCTGTAACTGTAGAACTACAAAGTATAAAAAAAACCTATATAGTAAGTGGAGCTGATAAAATGGACAATGAGCGTAGAAACAAGGAGGTGGTCATAACGTTATGCCTGATCGGTGTAATGTATTTTTATCTTATGTCGCAATTATGTCGCTTATGTACATACTCTCTCAGGGTGAATGGAGTCTGGCTGAGGATGGCGGCCTTGGAGGTGACAGAGGTAGCCGATTCTACCAGAACATCAGCTGAACTTAGAGGCTGGCAGAGAACATCAGTCACCTGGAGCTGTGGTGCAAACACACACAAGCATAAGATTACTACAGTACCCTTCAAATGAATCGCTGTAAACATACAAAATTTCTTCAGATAAACGACGTAACGAAGACTTGCACACTAGCTGTATATAATTGTATTGTTTAATTTACTTCTAGACATTTTCACTTGTTTTAAGAAATTTTATCTGCTGAAATGTAGTCATAATTGTGTTAAAACATCTAGTTAATAAAAAGACATCTACAAATAAGTTGAATAATCTTATATTCTTACATCAGTTTCATTATTAGAAGTATCAGATCTACTGACTAGATTTAAAGCTGCTCTATATTAGTCTCTAGGATTTAGAGACCTCTCGTGGAAATGTGTAATTACAAGCAACATCTGGAAAATATTTTATAATGTCGGTTGTGCAAAAGAATCTGATCACTGCGAACGTGTTAACCCTTGTGTGGTGTTCAGGTCTGTGGGACCCATTTTCAATGTTTACCAAAAGAAAAAATGATGTGATTTATTATTATTTCAGCCTCAGATTCTTGGTCTTTGCTCATTTTCTGTGAAGAACATATAAAATAACCCATTTTCAGTGGCTTCACTCTGTTCACCCCCCACACATTTATATTACACATGTGGTGTTGGGTGAACCTGCGGGGAGTAAAAGTGTGGAGGTGCTGTGTCCTCACAGCATGGACAGACTGCTGACTGGCTACAGCTGCTAAAGGAGAACCCTACACTGGACACTTGTGATATTTTAAACATCTGGTATTTTTACATAAATTGTTATGGCTGTATTAATTAAAAAAAAACAATGTGGTGGGTCCAGCAGACCACTGAGTAACATCAACATCACACACAGGTTAAAGAAGAATTCAAAGAGAACTCCTTTTTGAGCGTGTGACGTTGAAGGTGTAAGCACAAAAACAGTTGAACTACTTTAATATGTGCTCATAGATCCAATATCTGAGTGAAATAATCTCAAATTGAGACCGTAAAAGATCAACAAGATTAGATTTTTTTAGATCATTTTTTTCACACTGATAATAGATACAGATCACTTACAAACATGAATGTGAACCAATAAGGCAAAAATATCAGACCTGAACAAAATATCAGATTTGAACAACAAGCCTCAAGTTCAGCAAGTAATGACAACACTAGCATCACTATCCTCTGCAGAAAAGTTCAGTGTGTACCTGCAAGAGAGGCTGACTGTGAGATACAGTTGCAGGGCCCACAGCGCTAACGACGACCGGCTTGTGGAAGCGGTTGTTGGAGAGGGCGGCAGCAGCACTGGCCACACTAAAGGCTTCAGAAAGGGAGTCCCACGACTTCTTACTGAAGACAGAGTTCACTAGCTGGATCACCTGATCCTGTAAAGGCAGTACAAGACACTGTTTATCTCCAGAGTACACAGTTCAAGTGGTTATGGAAGTCAACTATGGTGTAAAAATGAATTAGCATGCGCTGAATCGACATAGATCTTTTTTTTCCTAAAAACTAATTTTATTATATTAAATGAATATGTATTGTTAATGTAGAAACAAATATTTACAGGCATGGCAAAGGATTGATGTTTTATTTGGCGATATTTTAGATGTAATTTCAATAACAGTCTACATGTATATGTAAAAAATTACATTTTTTAAAAAGGTTAATTATGAGCTTTAAATGAATATAAATTTAAATGAATTTAAGCTTAAAAGCAAAATTTTTGGCTCTTATACATGGTATCAAATGTTGTGGACTCAAATGAAATGATTCCAAAATAATCTAATAAAAATGTGGGGAAATTTGGGATTTTATGATTTCGCGAGGTCAGAAACTCACACCCTTAAACAAAACTACATCCCCTTCTGATTCAGAAAATTTATGATTGTTATATTAAAAATACTGAATACACAAACAATAATGCAGTGTCCAGCCTTACTTCCTTCAGTGGAGGCTCCACGTCCACGTGGTCAGAAAGAGCATAAGCTGCAGACACAAAGAGCGCTGTGGCCTCCAGACCTTCCTCAAACTGCAGGTACACGCCACCCAGATCGTCCAGACGAGCGGCCAGATCCTGATCCAAAAATATTAAACAGAGCTCCACTATTTAACATTAACTTCATGTTGAGCTCCTCAGGTATTCTGTAAATACCTTGAGAGCTCACTGGAATAAATGGGTTTGGAGTTAAATGCTAAGACGCAGCTCCACCTACAGGCTGATTAAATTCTCTCACCTCAATTTCCTCCAGGATCTCTCCCAGTTCAGCCTGCTGAGAGAGGCGGGAGGCAGTCTGCAAAGCCAGCGTAATTCTGTACACACAGACACAGACAGAGGGTAGAATGTAAAATACATATCAAAGGAGTAGTACAGCTTATTTTAAACCTAATCTCCAACACGTTTCCCTGTACTAACACCAGAAAACTTGTTGACTTGAAACATGCTTGTAACAGAAGTCAACAGGCAATAGGAATTCCAATAAATTGTTCAATAAAAAAATTAAACGTACATAATTGTTCACTTACCTCAGAGGTAACCGTCAGCCACGACTTGCATGTGTAGTGCTGGAGCAACAAGGCTAACACTGCTAACAAATACTGGAAGTCATTAGTCACCCAAATCTTTTCTGGAAATACATTCCCAAAACTTGCAACCTGTTTAAAGTGCATCCAGGTCTTCATTAAGTTGATCCAGATTTGTTGACATAATTTAGAGAACAGTCTGAGTTACTGTGAACTATAAAAATTAAAACGATTTGGGTGACTATTGACTTCCAGTGTTTGTGAACAAAGTGAGCCTCAAAGTTCCAGAATCAATCAAATCAAATCAAATAAAATAAATAAATATTAAAAAAGTAAATCTGACATCAAACATGACTTGGCTGATCGACTCTCTCTAGGGTAAGTGGGAAATTTGAAACTGGATTTTGCTGGAACAAAAAAGTTATACTTTCTAAAAAAATAAATAAATAAAAAGCAGGACAGAAATGCACAAAGAGTCCCTGAATGGCAGACGATTATTATAATTTTTTTTATTAAATTGCTATATGTATTTTTACAGTAGAATCGTGTATACATTTGGCCATCCCAAAGGATTGATCTTAAAACCTACACTATGTTAACGGTACTGAATTAGTGATGGGCCAATCCACATTTTTTCAGTTCTGATCTGATTCCGATATACAACTGCCGATAATGATACAGATTCTGATACAAGAGCTCTTTTAACTTTAATTTTATCATTATTATTGTTGGTATTGTGTTTAATCTTCCAATCACTAAGCATGTCTGTAATGGAGGCTGCAGCTGAACTGCTCGTGTGTGACCCCCTGCACTTCTTTACCTGACGCTCTGCACTCTGTGGCGTATATGTTTCTGAGATCACCCAGTGTGCAGTGAGACTTAGAGACACTGGACTCACATCTGAGGTCCAAATATCAGTCTTGAATCTCATGGCTTTAACATAACTGCGCCGCTAATGGTGATGACACTCGGTTGTACAGTTCGTGTATAGCAGTCTCTGAAATGTATTTAATAATGTGATTAAGTACAGCAACTTCTCTCTGATCCCTTTAGCCTTTGGGTCGTCTGTTCGAAGTTTATTGTGTTTCTGGAAAGCATCAGTGAGAGTCGCTGCCTGGTACTGTCTTCCTGTCTATTAGCTGGCATGAACTCCTGGTACTCTTTCACATCAAACCTCTGCAGGTGATTAAACTGGTTGTACTGTATGACGCAGCTGTACTCGCTCCCCTCGGCACGCTGGCTTTACACATTTTACTAGTAGCGGTTTTGCTTTTCGGAGGTTTCCAGACTAAAATATCTTGAAACAAATGACATTTTAGTCAAACCAACAGCTGATATTATTTGCTCACTCAGTTACAGACTAAAGTTGCCGTGGGTTCATGGTAAAATGTGGAATGGAATCTGGATCGGTGACATTTCACGTTATGTTATGTTATGTTACGGCAGGTTCATGGTCCAGCGCAAGCTGCGGACTGGAATCTGGATCGGTCAGTGGATCGGCCCTGTCCGTCCGATATCCGATGAGAGAATTACGTCAATATTGGTCCCGATACCGATATAGGATTGGATCAGTCCCATCTCTATATTAAATGTCATGGACTGAAATAGCAAGCTTTTCACGGAACGACTTCCCTGAATGGCAGGCGAAGGTACAAGCAATGCTAAGGTAAGCCCTTAAGGCTGATGCTCCCAGTAAAGTGAGGTTTACTCACGCCACGACATTGTCCTCTTTGGAGATCCGTGCTTTCAGGGCACTGACCACCTCCTGGGAGGCCAGAGGGAGTCCGAGAGAGCTGAGCGCACTCACGGCCTGATGGATCTGCGAAACCGTGGAGTCCTCACTTACAGCAGCGTGGAGTAAATCCCGCGTCTCGTTAGAAACATGGATCTGAGGAGTTAATGGATCAATTATAAATTTGAGGAATAACTTTTTTTGCATACATTAATGCGGTCAAGAAATACACACTAAACAACCTAAAGCGGTTTGCATTTATACCTCACAAGAAGGGAGCGCTTGGCTGGCCTCTGCAGCGTAAAAGAGAGCTTCAATACTGGAGGAGTCCAGGTTTGCCTTAATGAAACTGCATGCGTCCTTAAGAAGGAAGAAGCAAAACGCATTAAACTCATAGCAGAAATACAGTATAAAACATGAACACAAGCCAAAGGGGTTCAAATGACTTCTTAATACTCTAAAATGCGTTTATCCTTACATTTGAGTCCGCAACAGACACTCCCAACTTGCTCAGGCCAACAATGGAGAAATATGCAGATTTTAAGTCTGTGAACGGCTGGCTTAAAACAGCCTGAAGTCTGTCTACGTCAGAGGCCGCCAGGTAATGAGATGGGGTCAGCGCTTGGGCTCCAAGAGCCAGCACGAAGACCAGCAAGCTGACCGAACCTGCAAACACACATAAACAAAAGATACAAAGAATGTTATTATTAAAGTAAATAACCTTTTTTATGCTCCACATCCTAAACACTGAGGATGTGCTTTCCTCATTTAGAAAAGAACAGCCCAGCAATTTTCCTGACAATTTCTAGTTTTGAGAGTTTATTTATTGTTATTTTGTGAGAATTGAGGGCCTCTAAATTAAGATAGCATGCTAAAGTTAATCTAAACTACCACTGTCTTCCATGGGTCACAGACACAGACAGCAAAGAAGCCTTCTGAGACTCTAAAACTGCTAATACAATTACATAATATTCTAGTAGCTATTATTTTGATTATTATTAAGGGGACTGGTTTAAAACTTTGAAACTCAAACTGGTCCTACTCATTCAGTCCATAATTTCTTATGGTTGTCTCCAGATGTTCTCCTTACAAGCTCACATCTGGCCCCACAAGATTACCCCTGCTGAGACACTTATAAATCCAACATGAATGGGAGTGACTAAACTTCAGCAGACTGAACAGGCAGATATATGTAAATGTACTGGTTTTTGACATCACAAAAACAATTCACTAAAAACCTGAAATTCTGGCAGCACGGTTTTCGTCTATGGACAGGGGTGTGAACGGTATGCTCTGAAACTTCAGCAATGTTTATGTACTATATCGAAGTTCCTGCTAGAAATGGCCAATAGGTTGCAACTCCTTCATAATTCAGACAAACCAAAGGAGGTGATGTTGAACTGAACGCCTGCAGCACCATGCTGAGCCCAAACCCGGATGCATGTCCCATGGAAGCCTATAGGAAGTCGTTTTGGGGGCAGATTTTACTTCAGAAGCACACAAAAATCACAAAAACTTACTCCAAAACCGTCTGAAACACTGAAAAATGCAAATAAAACGAAAACTTGGTGAGGAAAACCGCTGGGACGTTTCTTTTAAGGGCCCTTTCCCGTTGCTGAGCTGCCGAATCTGATTTAACGTTAAGCTTCTTGCTCAAATATTCCCGTTCCACCTTAAATGGTGCAGCAGTTACGTTCTGGCGAACATAGCTGCTGCACCATTTAAGGTGGAACGGGAAAATTCGACCAACAGGCTGGTGAATAGGAAGCCAACTTCAGCCCTGACCTGCGCTGCCAAATGAATGACAGCAGACCAGCCGCAGCTCCAGGCAACAGCTAAGTGACTCTCCACCGACTTTTAGACTTCAGATGATAAAATATGATCTTGAATTAAACATAAATGCCCTGAAAATAAGAAAATATTTTGTGTTTGTGAATTTTGAACCAAAGCTCTCACGCACGCGCGTTAACGTTACTGCAGTTAGCCGCTTAGCACCGCGCTAAAGCAACGGATAGCTCCGATTTCAGTAGAGATACGCGATCAGCTGGAACACCTCATTCAAAACCATCATATAAACTCTCATCTCAGACACAATTATGGACAAAAAACACAGAAAAACGAGTCAAAATCTCAGACAGATGACTTACGGAGCAGCGCCATGTCGCCGAGTGCAGCGTCACCAAAAGGGAAAAGGGGTGAAACCGTTTGGGCTCGCTAGGGGGAGAGCATTAAATCCGGAGATTCAGCCGAAATAAATTTAACATCCAAACCGCAATCACAACCAAATCAGATTAAAGAATATGTCTAAATATATATTCAATAAGTATCACCACAATGTAAAAAAACATCTACCAGCCTTCTTTTTAATAACAGTAAAACCGGCACCCCCTACACCGAGAATGGTATGGACCAAATGCTGCTTTGCAATGAAATAGAAGAAAATTGAATATATCGACAACGAGTGGAAATTAGAAACAGATGCTGGGAATTCAAGGTAGTTTTTTTAAATATTATTTTTAATGGTAAATAAATTGTGGTTTGTGAACAGATCTCGTATTCTTTTATTGAAAGAGCGGGAGGCGTTTTTGGGCATTGTGTCTATTTCTCATTGGTTGTTCTCCTCCCATTCTGTCCAATCAGAGCGATGAGAAGGAGGGAGACGTTTCCAGTTCACCTGCAAGGTGAGCCTGAGTGTCACTGCAGAATGAGTGATTATTTACTGTATCCTCCTGAGACCCAGAAAAAATAAAGTGAGAATTTCAGTCATTTTAGAATAAAATTATTGGCTGATTTTTTTTTTCAAAAACTTTTTATTTATTTATTTATTTTTTGGTAATGTCCTTTATAGTGGACATTCCTATACTAAATAAGATCAAAGCCCTGCTGCAACAACAGCAACAATTTAAAAAACCTTATCAACAGTCTTCAAAGTCCTGGTCATCAATGTTCTGCTCAAAGTGAGTCCAGGCCACCCAGTCAGTACTTTGGGTGGGTCATTTAGCAGCAAACTGTTCCATGGTAGGGATGAACCTTAGGTATAAACAGAGAGGGATGAGAATTAGTTTATTTTGAATGTTTTTATTTTAAAATGTACGATTATGTAAAATGAGATTTTCTAATAAATTAGGAAATTAAATAAGCTCAGATCCTGAGCTTAAATGGCTGCATACACTTAGTCCAGTTGTCCATTTAGCAGTAAGAGTAATACTTAAAATATTGGCGGTACAAAAAAATGAGGACAAAAAAGAAAAAAATAGATACAGTAACATCACAGTAATGTATTTAACTGCTCAGTTTACATGTTGTTGCTTCTAACCCTAAGAGGGGTGAGATCATCCTTTAATTCTCTCTGCCTCAGTCAATTTCCCATCACCTGTGATATGAATTTCATGTAAAAACAGAAAAAGTTAGTTCCAGTGTCCATCAGAAAGGACATCAAAAAAAAGTCTACTGTTAGGTCGTTAAACATATCATATCAATCATGCATATCAATAAAGAACTGCTATGAAAATTAGCTAAAACGTTTTTCTACCTAAAACAGATCAACTATAGGCTTTAGAAACAGAAATCTTTAATGCACATTTTTCAACTAATAGCTTCTCTTGCTCCCGTAGAATGTGGTTGCTGAGGTGGCAGAACTCCTGTTGTGAATGACACACCCAACAAATGATAAATCACCCCTTTTACCCTGTTCTTCAGTGCTCAGAACCCCCATGGACCCTCACAGAGCAGGTACTATTTGGGTGGTGGATCATTCTCAGCACTGCAGTAACACCGACGTGGTGGTGGTGTGTTAGTGTGTGTTGTGCTGGTCTGAGTGGATCAGACACAGCAGTGCTGCTGCTTTTGGACACAGCAGTGGTCCAAAAGCTGCTAGGGATAATCTGCCTACGTTTACTCTTAATCTCGATAGTTTCTCAGTTGCACCAGGCACATCTGTAAAAAGCCTTGGTGTCATGATCGATCCCGATCTGGCCTTCGATGAGCATATTACCAATATTACCAGAATAGCTTTCCTCCACCTGCGTAACATCGCTAAATTAAGAAATGCACTGTCGCTACAGGATGCAGAAACGTTAGTTCACGCCTTCATCACGTCCAGGTTAGATTACTGTAACGCTCTGCTTTCTGGTTGCTCCAGTCAAAACCTTAACAAGCTTCAGTTAGTCCAGAACGCTGCAGCCAGAGTTCTCAGCAAAACCAGGACATTTGACCACATTAGCCCAATTTTGTGTACCTTACATTGGTTGCCAGTTAAATTCCGCATTGTGTACAAAATTCTTCTACTGACATATAAAGCTCTGAATGCTCCTCAGTACCTCAGTGACCTTATTTCCTATTATCAGTCGACACGCCCACTTAGATCACAAGGTGCTGCTCATTATCAGTACCTAGAATTAATAAAGTTACGTCAGGGGGAGGAGCCTTTTCATACAAAGCCCCCCAGCTTTGGAATAGCCTACCAGTCTGTGTTCGGGACTCAGACACAGCCTCCATCTTTAAGTCTAGGCTAAAAACTTACCTGTTTAGTCGAGCCTTTGGTTAATTAGTTTTCGTGTTAGAAAAAGGGGCAGATCTGGGGGTTCACGGACAGAGAGTCTTATGGTAATCTGGGAATGTTGGTGCTGTCGTCCCACTGCTTCACTCAAGTTTGTTGACGATGGAGCAGAGGGGCTCTGACTTCTCAGGGAGCCCTCATGTCCTTGTTACCTTCTGACTCTCCCTCTTAGTTATGCTGCCATAGCCAGGCCTACCGCTGCACTGTCAACTCTCTGTTCTGTTCGGTCACCCCCCCCCGCCCTTTCCCTGAGCTGAGTGACTGCCCATCCCAAGAGGGTCTGATGCGAACACCACTCAATCCCATCCCAGGGGGGTCTGATGCAGCTGGTGCTCCGTCCTGTGTGGTGCTGTCGCTTCGTCTGCCATGACTGGATGGGCTGTTTGCGTGCATCGTAGAGCCTTGTGCTGTGTGGATCCTTGTGTGGTCCTCACTGTACAAAGGACTCTAAACTCCATACCCAACACTGTACAGAACTGTAAAACTGTATCCACTTATACTGTTTTGAGTCTGTGCTGTTATCCGGTGTCGACCAGAGGAGGATGGGTTCCCCTTTTGAGTCTGGTTCCTTTCGAGGTTTCTTCCTCCTGTTGAGGGAGTTTTTCCTTGCCACTGTCGCCAAGGCTTGCTCACTGGGGGCTTGGACCCGGACTCTCTGTGAAGCTGCTTTGTGACAACATCTGTTGTAAAAGGCGCTATATAAATAAATTTGACTTGACTTGTAATTGTAGAACTACAAAGTGCACCTATATAGTAAGTGGAGCTGATAAAATGGACGATGAGCATAGAAACAAGGAGGTGCTCATAATGTTATGCCTGATCGGTGTGTGGTTTTTGAAATATCCTTTGGGGGCTCACGTCCCCCACAGAGGACAACAATGAATTACCAGGTCTCAGGAGGATATAACATACACACAGGAATTATTAGGGTCCAAGCACATAGTCCATTAGCTGCAACTCGCACATAGACTGCCTGACTGAGATCATATTCAAGTTTGTTACAGACAGTATGCCAACTATGGTCTAAATTCACCTCCAAGGGGCGCTGCAGAATGGAATCATATGCAAATTATGTACAAATAATTTCACTTATTTAGTTTAAATTGAACAAATGCAGACAGTGGCAAAATCTCAAAAAAGCCTTTAGTCTGCACAACTTTGCCAATAGATGGGTTCGCTAAATTGTACAGGCAAATTAACCTCTTATTCTCCAGGGTATATTTTGTTTTTTTCATCTGAATTTACATGACCAAATCGTAAGGCAAATTATTCAGTAACTGCATGAAATAAATGTACATTTTTATTTTATTCATTTATTTTTTGTAAAAGCTCCCCTCAAATTAACAGAACCTGTTTTATGATCACACATATTGCTATATGCTTACAATTTACTGCTGACAGCCAAAAATCTTAGACGCTCTGTTTTATTTTATAAAAATAATTTTTACAGAGCAGATCACTGAAGAGACGCCATCTGTTTATAGTTTATACTATAAACAGCCCAGATTTGTGGAAAAATGGGTCGACTTTCAGTAGAAAAAAAAATTTGTGAGTTCAGCTTCTTTTATTATAAGGGTTTAAAATTACATCACCCATCTATTTGACTCGAAAGAAGACAGTTACAGCTCTCATATCACCCCCACCTTTTGAATGTACCTTATGAAATATGAAAGTTATGAAGAATATGGCGAAGTGCGTTTTGGAACCACCGGTGGTCTCAAGGAGTTGAAAAGTCAAATTTAATATTCTGATTTATACATTTCCAACACAGTAGTGCAATGACAAGAATACATTGTCTAATTGACACCAAATTTGGTATACCTGTTCAATGCCTAATGTTAAAATAGGGTGCAAAGATCTGTGGACATATGTTAAAGGGATGCACTAAAACAATAATTACACATGCTGAACTTACTTTTAAATCCATCACATTATAAAGCATTTCCAATACATATTACAAAAGAACAACCAGTATCAAAGTCTGTCATACTTTTCACAATCCAAAGATAAACTGATTAAAAATTAAATAAATTAAAAAACATTTTAGAGTACTTGGCAGCCAAAGCTACCAGATCCCTTCTTCAATTTACTAATTTGCACCCAATCTAATTGACTCAATAATCAAATTTAACACACTGCAAAGTGATCAGTGACAGTAAGCATACCATGAACAAGAAATATGGGTTTAAAATTTGTCATACTACAGACATCCCACAGATGAAGTCATTTTTCTGTGGCATTTTAAAATAACAGGCAAACAAAATGAGCAAATTTGTAAATTACTGGCACCCAAACTAACAGATACAGATTTAAAGTTTGTCAAACTGTGTTAATACCTAAGATAAAGAGCTTTTCCTTCAGCATTTGTAAAGTAACTGCTACACAATATAATCACACTGCTCGGTCTACTCAGGTTGGATGTGTTGTGAAATGGTGCTTGGACCCCTTATTGCTGCTTGCAACTACATTTAATATCGCAGTTTTGGCCAAGCGTGTAGAATGAATTCAGGTGAAGTAGGACACATGCTGAGAGGCACTGAGTCTTGTTGCTTTTGTGAGCTTGATATGAATAAATAAACATCAAAATGTCTAGGGATAAAAATGTAAATAAACACATTTAAAGGGGTTTTAAGAGAGGTTTTAATGGACTATC